TGAATTGAAGTAGTTTCCAGTTACTAAGGGTCTTGAAATTAAAGTAAAACCTATAAATTCAACATTTACCTTTTATAAGCAAAACCTTCATTGGCCATTTCTGACTTTTCTGGACGAAATAAAGATGCCATGGCAAACAATAACTTTCCATTTTAGAGATTTGATCACTTAACAAGTATTTGTTGAACACCCGTTATGATGTCTTGTCCTGGGTTGAACGCTGGATATATATATAAAAATTGTGGCTGAGACAAAGATGGCCTCTATCATCACAGAGACAGTCTAGAGAAAGGAGGAGTAAAGTAATCAAGCAACACACAGAGAATGACTGGGCAGTGAGAGCAGGAGTGTGGGGGTGCAAAAAAGAGAGTCCATTCCAGGCAGTGTGAGCAACAGGTGAGATAGCTACACAGGGGAGAATGTGACCATGATGGAACTGCTGATAGAAGTCCTAACTAATGATTGGATTAGGGTAATGGGGAATCTTTGCAGGACTTTTAGCAGGGAAGGTAAATGCTGTTATATGCATTTTAAAAAGATCAGTTAAGCTGGGCACGGTGGCTCACGCCTGTAATCCCAGCACCTTGGGAGGCTGAGGCCGGCGGATCACCTGCGATCAGGAGTTCGAGACCAGCCTGGCCAAAATATTGTGAAACCCCTTCTCTACTAAAAAATACAAAAATTAGCTGGCCGTAGTGGCGCATGCCTGTAATCCCAGCTACTCTGGAGGCTGAGGCATGAGAATTGCTTGAACCCGAAGGCGGAGGTTGCAGTGAGCCAGATCGTAACACTGTACTCTAGCCTGGGGAGTAGAGCAAGGCTGTCTTAAAAAAAAAAAAAATCAGTTTAACAATGGTGGGGAAAAAAGTGGATTAGATAGTGCCAGACTAGAGTCAGCATAGCCAGATGGATGTTGAATTTAACCAAGGGACGGTGGAAATTGAGACGGTAGGAATAGAGACAGCAATGTGGGAATTGATTCAACATCTATTAAGAAGGGATAGTCTTGATAATTGATAGATGCAGAGGAAGTAGCCGTAAGTGCCATTAATATTGTCTAGAGTGTAGTTTTTGAAAACCGAATGGATAGTGAGGCCCAAAATGGGAATCCAAGAACAGTAGCGGAAGTGGGGAAGATGGCGTTCAGGGTTCACATGTGTGGCGTTGACTTGGCAGCTGGATTTTGGGGTCTGACGCTTAGTGGAGGCTAGGTTCCAGGCGGGGGCTTTCTAATTATCATCAGATAGATGGTACCTGAGGAGAGGAAGTGGAAAGGCTCACCGAAGTAGACCAGAAAAGCAGAGGGGCAAAGTCAAAGCATCCTGTAAGAAGGCAGAAAAGCCATGCTCACACAGATGAGGAATGAACCTCCAGAGGCGTCAGAGCAGATTGGAAGAGACACATTCAGGCTCCATTTAACCAGCATAGTTCTTTTGTCAAAATGGAAGCGCCATGAAGCATCGTTGAAGGCGCTTTCCCACCATCCATCCGTCCAACACAAACCCAACTGCTTCACAGAGACTGCCTCACGCAGTGACTCACTTAGGACAGACGCATTCTCTGCCCCTGCCTCTCGTCTAGGGAAGCTGGCTCCTGAGGCTTCGGAGCCGCTCCACAGGGCCCTGAGGACACCTCCCCGGAGACCCTGCCTCAAGCCTCGCGGCGCCCGCACAGCCGAGCACCGGCTCCCGCATACTCACCGCGCCGGAGGGACGGTCCCTCCTTCACACCGCCAGTCTCCAAATCGTCCTTCTCATCGTCCCTGTTGCTGTCACCTGCTGCTGCAGATCGGGGGGCCCGTCCAGTCTCAGCCTGTCCCGTCCTCCCCCAAGCCTATTCCCAGTCCCCTCAACCTCTGGGACACCGCGGCCAGCCGCACCGTTGGTTTTCCAATCAAATCCTCCTCCAGCCCACTAACCGGCGCTGGCCAGGCCAATGCCAACAATTCTTTCACGGCCCCCTGGGGCGCTTCAGCCAATGGGGAGCAGCCATGCTGCGCAGTGCAGAGCGCCGTAGCAACGGATGACGCCTGCCACGGAGTCGCCGTAGCAACCAAAGACGCGACAGGTCCAGCACCAAGCTTGCAAGCGGAAGAGGAGGCAGGCGATGCTGAAGGCTGTGCTGTAACCACTTCACTGGAACCTAGAGCTACCTGAGAACAGGTCTCCTAAACATTGTAGACTTTTATGGATTTAGGGTGCCTAACCTTTGATGGGAAAGGGCAGCATCATCTTGGAGTGTTTACTTACAAGAACTGCTATGGACTAAAAATCACAGCAATTCTCTTTAAAAGCAAATATTTAATTTGATAAGGAATCCATGCAGCATGCTAAGTACCTTTCATATGGTATGAAAACATCTTCAGTTACTCAAGCCTCAGGTAATGAGAATATGGTGCCAGAGCAGCATATTTTTCACAAGAGTGACCTGGGATTCAAGAGATCTGTATGGTACAACTATCACCAGTTCATTCTGTGGCCTTGGGCAAGTCACTTCACCTTTTGTGAAAGTTTGAAGCTTCTTTCAAATTTCTGAACTGCATTAGATAATGCTTTAAAAATATACTTGATATTCTGTAACTTTAAATACATGAAAAATGGGCAGGCCACGGTGGCTCACGCCTGTAATTCCAGCACTTTGGGAGACAGAGGCAGGCGGATCACGAGGTCAGATCAAGACCATCCTGGCCAGCGTGGTGAAACCCCATCTCTACTAAAAATACAAAAACTAGCTGGGTGTGGTCGTGCACAACTGTAATCCTAGCTTCTCAGGAGGCTGAGGCACGAGAATCACTTGAATCCGAGAGGTGGAGGTTGCAATGAGCAGAGACCATGCCACTGCACTCCAGCGTAGTGACAGAGGGAGACTCCGTCTCAAAAAAATAAAATAAAAATAATTGAAAATTGCCAATTTATTGAGTGCTCAATTTTGTGCTGGGCACCATTTCAAATTCTTTATTTATTTCACTTAGTTATAAAATGGAGGCACAAGAAGTTTCCTAAGTAGTCCAGTATGGCAGAGCTAGTGAGTGATGGAGTCAGAGTAGAACCTACTTGGGTCTGGTCTTAAGCGCAATGATGCTCCTTTGACAATTTCTTCAAGTACTGGGCCCTATTCAACCCCATCTTAATATCACTAAATGCTCATGAGTGTGTCAACACTGGTGATTAAATCTCCCCAAACTGGATTTCAAATGAATACAGTGAACCCTAATGCTTCTCTGGTTTGGATAGTAAACAGGCCCACTGGGGTAACAATACTTAGGCTTGTGTAATCAAAAACATTTTTTAAAATGAATACAGTCCTATTTTGGAAATGCAGAAAAAGCCAAACTCCAGTGAGTATAGCGGAACTTATTAAACTTCAGAGAACATAAAACCATCAGGATTTATGTTATCAATAAAGCAAAACAAGGTGACAGGGACAAGAAGACTGATGCGGAGTAGAAAAAGTATTCTATACATACATTCCAAATATTAAGCAGTCGCCCTGGCTTGGTGGCTCATGCCTATAATTCCAGCATTTTGGGAGGCCGAGGCAGGAGGATCACTTGAGGTCAGGAGTTCGAGACCAGGTTGGTCATCATGGTGAAATCCTGTCTCTACTAAAAATAGAAAAATCAACGGGCATGGTGGTGCATGCCTCTAATCCCTACTACTCGGGAGGCTGAGGCACAAGAATTGCTTGAACCCAGGAAGCGGAAGTGCAGTGAGACGAGATTGTCCCACTACACTCCAGCCTGAGAGACAGAGCAAGACTGTCTCAAAAAATAAATAACTATTAAGCAATAAGACATGACTCCACTGAACTTCTCGTCTCCGCAATACCAATTGTGCTTCCCATCTTTCCAGTACTCAGTAAAATCAAAGTCTTAAACTAATGTTTTGGCCATCCCAGAATATTTCTGAACTTCCCTGAAAGCTGCAGAGAAGATTAAGAGGCAAGAATGACACTGGCTCTGTAAGAGAAGTGCCCTATCATCTCAAATGTTAAGGGTCCCTCTGTGACATAAAAGATAAAATCCCACAAGAGATCTTGCACCAAGCTTATAGCTTATATAGCAGGGCTCAAAACTATGAAAACATCCCCTTTTGTTTTCTAATGCCTTTTATTATTTTAAATGAAACGCATAATGTAAATTATACAGTTCAAAAGTAAAACAGCATAATGTCCTAACTGCAGCATAAAGAACAAATAAAGGTAACAAATATGCATTTAAGTAGATATTCAGGATCGACTCAACAAGCAGATAAAACCACTTCCCAAAATTTATAAAATGCCTTTAGACCAATGGTCTAGAGCAAGAATAGAACTGATATTCAAGAGATCAAATATGCCTTTATTGGCCACATCAAATAGAGCTCACTCTTTTCCTCTTTCCCCCTGTCCGCTTACAGAATCTCAGGGTCTAGAGACAGGAATTATAAATTTACCAAAAAAAAATTTTTCCCCTAAAATAAACGTAAATTTTCAAATGAAATTTCCAAAAGCGTAAGTGTCTATCTCCGTCTTATTCCAAAGGCTATCAAATTCATGGTGAGGTATCAGAAGTTTTTCCGCACAGAAAACACAGGAGGAAAGAGTTCCACATATGCCAAACGAAAAACAAACCAAGACCTGTAATTTGCTGTTAAGGAAAGTAATTCGTAATAAAACTAGTCACTAAAAAGAAACAAACAAAAGTCCTGTACCCAAGAGTTCAATATTACCATGCATATCACACAGTAAGATTTCTAAAATTGGGGGAATAAATGGACCAGCCATTTCTTAGAGAGCTTTAATTTCAATTATCTCTTAGCTATCAAATACCTTCGTAAAACAAACACTATTTTATTTTTTCTCACTGTTTCCTCTTTTCTCTCTCCTACTGAAAACTAATATTAGGGGGCAAGAAACAGACATCACTTATTTTCCTTCCTTTCCTATCTCATCTCAAGCTGAGAAAGAAAATGTGGCTCTTCTAATAATCAGAGTTCAAAGTAGAGACAATAGCCAACAACTAATTCAGTAGATTTTTATTGCTCAATCAACTTCAGTAACATCTCCAAAAAGAAAATAGTTTTCATCTAACAATTATGAAACAAATTTGAAAGGCAGGATCATTCACATTATAGACCTGGTAGAGGCTTGTACTTCATATAAATGAAAAATATCAGTTCTACAATTTAAACGTTTAATTTACTTTGGATTTTATTATAGAAGAAAATATCATTGTAATTATAAAAGCCATAAAAAGTGGAACTGTACTGTGAAATTACATCAAGGTATCAAATTTTATATAAATGAACAATAAAATTCAATTTTTATTTATTTAAACACAGTAAACACTGGAAGACAATCTCCCCCACGGGAAAAGAAAAAAAAAAAAAAAAAACCTTGAATAATTCAACAAAAGAAAAGCCATAACACAAAAATTAATCAGTGTGCAAAAATCTGATTTAAAAAACAAAACAAAACTGAGGTTTAACAATTACTCTAAGTCAAATGTTGAAGTCAATATATGCTAATTAAATTTCATTTTAAAAATGATCTTTGGATTATTATATTCCCAACTATGTTTTCCTATAATCAACACTTAATGTTACTTTTTGAAAAACTAGAAAAGAGATCAATTTATATTAAGATTGCCAAATTTTGCAATTTGAACACTATTTTAAACTTTGAATGTCCTTAAAGTCTTTAAATTTATTTTCTAAAATAAATAATTGTTGGAATAAACCAAAATATTTTCACATATTTGCATTGCATATGATAAAAATGATGTGATCTACATAAATACATTTAAAACATTAAGTTATTTCATATAAACACTTTTAATTACAATGTTTTATCAATGGCTTACACATTTGAAATCTGAGCACTTTAAAACAGGATTCACATGTTAAACTGCTGAGCACATTTACAGAACTGATGTACATCACATAATCCTTTAAACAGCAAGCTCTGGTGTTATACCTCAGTTTGAGAAAGCATTTTTCTTTCAACAGAATTTTGAACCTGCTTTTGTGAAAGAAAAAAAATTAGAAAGCTATTATACTCACACAGAAAATTTAATTTAAGTATGTGGAAGAAATAAACTTTTTTTGGATGAAGAAAAGTTAATTTTGAGTGATAAACAAATCTGCTTTACAAATAGATGCATTAGCACATAAAATATTTTGTCTTAAACATCTTTACAAAAGACTTGGCAAATATGAACAATGGTATGCCACAGCTTTTTAAAACAACTTTTAACAGATTTAAGATCGATATCATTCACATTCACATAAACACACACACACACACACGCACACAAAGACTGTGTGCTTCGCTTCGGCATATGTAATATTATTAAAGAATATATAGACTTATCCTTTTATCATAAGGAATTTAGTTCATTGTTTTCTCAAAAGCTGCTATTTTAGATTGAAACAGCATTCAGGAAAAAAAGTAAATTTCAGATGATCAGCATCAGGATTTACTACAGACTTTGTAAACAGATATCTATAAATAAATAAACTAGGGCGAAGAAAAGAATATCCTGAGGTGGCTCGGTGGCCAGGGTATTCAGTAGCACTAAGCTCCATCCTGGAAATCAAGGCATCTAAAGAAAGTGCAGGGCTGTTATCTGAATTCATTTCATAAATGGAATATGTACAGGTTTAATTATTTTGCACCTTGAGGTAAATCAGTACATAGCAACTACTACTGCTTATATACAGTTATTTAAGGCAACTTTATTTAAAAATCAATATATGTAGTAAATTATATCTCACTGTCTCGCGATGAATGCTATGATTGTTATTTTTCAAAAACGGTGGAAGAAATATCATAATCACTTAAAACAAGCAGTTAATTACTTAAACATGAGTTACCTTTGCTCTTACATGGAGTAGTCAGATCATTTTGTAAGTCAAGTAGTCAAAAGAAAGCAGAAACCACTAACAATTAGAAGCACTGTAAAAACATTTTGAGTGCAAAATATTTTGCAAGTGACGGGTTTTCTGGCACTGGATAATTACTATACATAATTAAATAAAATCACAGAAACACTATGATCCCAGGTAGTTTTCATTTTTAAAATTTCTTCCTGTAAAATAAGTACAGTTGTTACCCCTGATGTCCAGACACAAGGAAATGACGTGAGGAAATCCTCTCGTTCAGATATATCAGGGGAGTTTTAAAAATAGCAGCAAATACTGGGGTCTTTGGAAATAATTATGCTGCTACGAATAAAAAGGAATCATTACAATGGAAGCTCATAAACAATAATAAGCACCGTGGATAATATTCTATCAATTGCCAACAGAGTCTAACTCTTTTTAGGCAGTACCAAATGATGACAGCTATATATTTTCTAAAGAAAAGCAGCTATATTTCCAACCTCTCATCTGAGGCAGAAGTTGAATCCATCATTTTAACTAGATTCTCACAACATGGTCTTGGAAGAGGACATTACATTAGTTAATAAATAGTTTATAATGAATTTCAAACACCAGACTTGCTAAAATATCAGCTTTTGGCATTCCTCATGATCCTTTATTAGACTTTTGTAATTTAATTATATGGTTAAAGGGAGCATTGGCATTTCATTAAAATTTTCGCCCTAATATTCATGTCACCATTTTTGATATTTCTGTGGCTTCTCAATACTCATTTGATTTCTGTAAATTCTTCTCTTGTCAAATCAGTTTCACAACCCCATTCATCCAGTCCTACAGGCTTAACAACTTTTTTCTATTTCACGTGGAGCTAAGAGTATATAAAAGATGACTAAAAAGATTTGTTAGACTTTAAAAAGCTCAGAAAAGCAAAAACAAATACATAAAATAAGAATGCCATCAATCTGAGCTACATATAAAATTATGCCTAATTTCCTTTTTAAAATATAAATATGGCAGTGCTTTATATCAAAGATGTAAAATCTATCAGTTGCTATAATAAAGATAAATGCAAGTGAGCACCAACTATTTACATTAACAATTTACTCTATTTGTTACTTTTCCAAATGTTTGTATAATATTTAAGCATCATCACTTAAAATAAATATTTTAAAATAAAATCACAGGTAATAAGCTATTAAATATAATCTACAAAAGTGAAAAAATAACAACATAAAGAGAAAATGAAAGGTAATTCTTAATAAAGTAATACTGATCATAGACCCATCTGAGAGAATTCTGACTCCTGATTATTTAAGCATACTACTTAAAAGAGAAAATCAGTCAATCAAGAACTTGAACCTGATGGAAACTAACCATTTTAAGACAAAGAGAGACAAGGCAGAGAACACAGTGGGAATTACAGGCTTTAAAAGAGTATAGGGATACAGGAAAAAAAAAAAAATCTACAAAGGCATCAAAATCTACTGCAAATTGGCATTGCATAACTTTTTAAATTCATGAAGTTACAAATGGTACGGGTGCTTAATTATCAAATCACCTACAATTTTACTTGTCTGTCACAATGGATACCTAGATATGAAGGTTTTAAGATTTAAAAAAATTAAACATAAAAGTTAAAAACTATCATTATTAAAGTTTCCATTGTTCTACATTCATCTCTATGGCTAAGAAAATGCCAGTTAGTGAAACATGATGACATCTATGGAAATGAAACACACAGAGAAGCCCTGAAATGTTACCACTTTTCCCATAGCACTGGTATAGACTCCCTATTCTTCCCATAAAGAACAAAAGTGAAATAATATCTGAAAATTTCTAGAAACACATAAAAATTATAAACATATAAACAAAGTATCACTTAAGGTTTGTTATGAATTGCCATTGATGAACAAGAGGTTTAAGAAAAGCAGACTGTAAGCATTTCTCCACATCCTTCTATTGCAAAACAGAAAATTTTTTTTCCAACAGAATAAATATTTGAATAGTTAAGAACGGTGTACCTCACTTCAAAGACAGCAATTCATTATATACATAGTCTCCACGGTGCTCATAACAAACTCCAGACACTACTTTTAAAAACCCAGTAGTCATGCATAAACAGCATGACATACAATATTGTTTTATATAGTGACATGATAAACACACATTACATAAGTATATATCTATATGTATAATGCCTCTTGGTTCAATTCTATAATGAAGTTTCAGCATCCACGTATTTCTTTCTTGGTTCATCTTCAAAACTTATTTTCACACTCACAGGTTTATCAGGACTATTTAAAACAAAGAATGAGAGTAAATAATTTTTAAACATAAATATTCAATTCTAAACATGGATAACAATGAGTACATTAAACCTTCTCAGATTACTATTAACAATACAAGCTTATTACTTACTAATATAATTTTACCTTTTTTTAAATCATTAAGCCTAAATGGAAAGGCAAATATTAAAAATTCTGCTTTTAAAAACTGCATATATTTTCAATTAAAATTCATGTTTTCCTTACAACTAAAGAGGGGGTCCTTAAAATAGGGCACTATATGGTCAGAATCTATTGGATTACTTTTATTTCATATATGATCAGTTACATAGCATGTGACTTTTATTTTACTGAAAAATCTATTAATATATAAATCTTTGTTGGGCTGTGCATGGTGGCTTACACCTGTAATCCTAACACTTTGGGAGGCTCAGGCGGGCGGATCACAAGGTCAAGAGTTCAAGACCAGCGTGACTAACATGGTGAAACCCCGACTCCACTCAAAATACAAAAAGTAGCCGGGCATGGTGGCGCAAGCCTGTAATCCCATCTACTCAGGAGGCTAAGGCAGGAGAATCACTTGAACCTAGGAAGTGGAGACTGCAGTGAGCCAAGATCAAGCCATTGCACTCAAGAGCAAAACTCTGCCTCAAAAAAAAAAGTAAATAAATCTGTTAATATAGATAAGTATCAAATAACTTCCAAAAAGGTTACAAATTTACAAAACTTCTCACCCCAAATTTGGTTCATAAATACAAAACCAATATACCTATTCCATATATATATATATTCCATATGTATGTATACACACACACCCTATGTGTGTGTGTATATATATATATGTGCGTGTGTACACACACACACACACACACACACACACACACACACACACACGTTTTTTTGAGAGAGTTTCACTCTTGTTGCCCAGGGTGGAATGCAACGGTGTGATCTCAGCACATTGCAACCTCTGCCTCCCAGGTTCAAGCGATTCTCCTGCCTCAGCCTCCTGAGTAGGTGGGATTACAGGCATACGCCACCACGCCCGGCTAATTTTTGTAATTTTAGTAGAGACGGGGGTTTCACCATGTTGGTCAGGCTGGTCTTGAACCCCTGACCTCAAGTGATCTGACCACCTCAGCCTCCCAAAGTGCTGGGATTAGAGGCCTGAGCTACCGCACCTGGCCCACCTATTCTATATTTTTAAGTTAGTATGACACAATGACTCCAGGTACATAAATTTAATTGATTAACTGTAACATTTAATACCTAAGTTCTAGAAAAAGTTTTCATAAAGTGTAAAAACACACTATGGTTTGCTGTCTTCTCCGGACAAACTGAAGGAAAGACCCACCCCCCCAAACATCTTCCTGTTAAACCACAAAGCCAAGGCATTCTCTTTCTTCCTATGTGATTTTGAAGTGCGGGGCGACCCAAACAAAAGGCAGAAGTATAAGAGATGTTAGTTATTATTGTAAGGACTTCATTTTTTTTATGATAATTATACTAACAGGGTCAGGGGTGCTGACACAATGCGAACAATTACTAACAGTAAAAAGAATATTTAGAAAAATTCTGGCTGTACTGAATGATCCAAAATTACAAATAATTTAACTTTAAAACTTTTTAAGATTAAAGACCGAAGAAAGGAAACAGCCAGCTGAGAAATTAGAACTCAGATGACAGAAGAGGAAAACATATGACAGAGAGTAAGTAGGAAATAGGTTCTAAAAGAGGGTAGGGAAAGAATGAGAAAAAGCTAATCAATTATTATGAGAAGATAGAGCTAAGGCAGCAAGTGAACAAAAATAACTACGTGACTGAATGCCTAGAAAAGTTTTCCTCTCATGCCCAAGCAGAATACACAGACACCCAACATAGCATCTCACACAAACTGTACATAAAAAGTATTTGTTGAATATGAATGACTGAGCACCCTACAAGTTGGTAACTCATTTCTCTAAAGGCTTAAGAGATTAAAATGCTAATGATTACCAAAACAGAATCCCTGAGGGTTTAGTTCTTGAAGTGAGGACAAAAGAAAGAAAAAGGGTTACATAACAAGAAATGTAAGAAAGAGGTTACATAATACATTCAATATATGGTCCACTGTAAAACTGAATGGCCTAAGTCAATGGATTCTATTTCTATCTCCAAGCAAAACGTTTACCTGACCTGAAGAAATGGTATACTAAACCGAAACGAAGGAAGGAAAACAACTGTGTTTTTTCTCTTTTCTTGGACCATCGGAAAGCATAATTGAGGTAGTATTCAATTAATCCCTAATAGACAGTATGTCATCCCTAATAGTTATCTATCTTTATATGGTTTGTGATCTTTTACATGTTTACTCCATACTGCCATATGAAATTTATTTTTATTATAAAATAGCTCAAATTATTATTATTTTAGACAGAGTTTCGCTCTTGTCCCCCAGGTGTCACCTCAGGTGATCTGCCCACCTCAGCCTCCCAAAGTGCTGGGATTGCAGGTGTCAGCCACTGCAGCTGGCTCAAATTATTTATTTTAAATAGGTAACTATAAATTAAAAAACAAAAACAAAACATAATCATTATTTATACCTTATTCCATTATACATTAAAATGATGGACGAAAGGAAGAAGGAATGAAGCTCTCCGTAAGTAAACAAAAGTTGGTTACAGTTAGAAAACACATAAATAGTTATAACTACCTCATGTTAGATCTGGTTACTTTGGCATTCTCAGTATTCATGGAAAGTGCCTTCCACTGTGCAGTTTTGGCCATTTCATCTGATATATTAACAACTGAGGGATCAACACTGAAGAACAAATACACTTTTTGGTTAGTATTCAGTACTTGCAAAAGTATTAATATTGTCATTCTTACTATCTGCTTTCATCAACTAAAAATTGAGAAAACCTTTGCCATGCACTCAAAGGTCTCGCAAGATACCAGAATTTGAGTTCTGTTAAGAAGTCCTAAGAAGAATTACATCTTTCGAATAGAAACTATGAGTAAGATTAACTAAGTTAGCAAGACTTATTTATGGAACTTTGCTGCAGAATCCAATCTGGGGTTTCAGTACTACTTCACAGCGCTCTAACAATGATACCCTCTGATCATCTTGGCTGGAAATATGCTACTGAAATAACATAAGACTATGTTAATGTCCTTATGCATACAAAAAAAATACAGTCTCAAATCAACTAGAAAACGTACAATTGGCACACATTTAATCTCAATACCCAAAGTATATAAGGAAAACTTAAGATTATGATTTTTAAAAATCTTATTTTTTCATAGCTTTTACAAATCATTATAAAGAATGCTTGGAAAGATAACGCTCTGAAATTGAAAACAAAGCACTGAAAATATTTCAACAGCTAACACAAAGTAGCCTCATAAATACCACTTTTATCATATTTAATGTGATAAAAGTGGTATTTTATCAAGTTTATCAAGATTAAAAGAACAGAGTAGGCCAGGCACGGTGGTCACGCCTGTAATCCCACCCAGCACATTGGGAGGCCAAGGCGGATGGATCATGAGGTCAGGAGTTCAAGACCAGTGTGTCCAACATGGTGAAACCCCATCTCTACTAAAAATACAAAAATTAGCAAAGAATGGTGGCAACCGCCTGTAATGCCACCTACTTGGGAGGCTGAGGCAGGAGAATCACTTAAACCCGAGAGGCGGTGGTCGCAGTGAGCTGAGACCACGCCATTGCACTCCAGCCTAGGCAACAGAACAAGACTCCATCTCGAGAATAATAATAAAAACAACAACAACAGAAAGAACAGACTACTATCCATTTACTATAATGAGACAAACGTTTCTGTTTCTGTGAAATCTTTTGATCAAAATTACTTCGAGACCCCAAATCTAATAATACTATCCATAAATAATTTGGGGCTCAAGGTTGTCTATCACAAGTAATAGGAAAGTATCATAAAGTTAATACAAATACATTTGCAAGTCCTTTTTCTTTGATTAAAAAAATACATTCAGACAAACAAGGTACAAATACAAATGTCAAATTAGGCAATGTTAACAATGTGATGGCAACTAGTTTACAAATGACTAAACAACGGTCATTTAGGAAGTGACAGCTCTGTTCATACTTAAAATCAAATTATTTACAAATTTAAGACTGCAGAGAAGGGTGATGTGGTCACTGAAAAGTCTCTCTGAATGGCTGCTTTACCTTCGCAAGGTCAGATTTTTAAAAGTACACAAAGTCTGAATGCCCAAGTTTACAATGGCATAGCCATCCAACTTGAAACGATGCCTACCCTGAGTAACGTTTATTCACTTGGTTGCCAACTTCAAATAAGTGAAGAAAGGTATTTCTGATAAACTTTCTAGCTTCTAAATATCCTTTACTATGAAGAAAGTATGTATTTTGTTTTCCCTCAACATGAAATTAGATGGGAAAACCTTTGCCTGTATTACATAAATTATTTTCATCTTTTATAAGGGCTTTACAGTTTCCAAATGCTTTCATATACTGTCTCATTTGATCTGCCGCACAAGTAATCCAAACCTATTTAAGATATAAAACTCTGGCAAGTAAACACATTAGCCATTTCCTGGCATTTCTGATGTTAAAAATTTTAAACATATCCACATTAATCATGGCTCGTGTTACCATTTAAAAGACAAAAGGAGAACTATCGATATCCATCTTTTTCTTAAATATATGACAATAGACTCCACTTAAATTTGTCAAGGTCCCTATATAACTACACTGAAAAAGTGATAAAGCAGGGCATTGAAATTAAGCAGCAAATACTCTCAGCCAATTGGTGATAATTGCTAATAACCATCATGGTAGTTCTTATACTCTTTTTAGAAGTACATCAATGAAGCTAATATGCATAGAGGAAGATTAGTTGAATTCATTCATCACAACTAATCAACATGTACAAATCAAATGTTACCCTGTAAAAGCTATAAATAGCTAAAAACTAAAAAAAAAAAAAAAAAAAAAAAAAAAAAAAAGGAAAAAAATTAAATACCAATAAAACATTTTCTATCAACTGGTCAGGTAAGAAACCTGTATATATTCTAAGACTGATTTTGCCAGCTAATCAGAAATGAAATAGAAATGTGTAGAAATAGGAATCAGGTGTGTACACAAATATAAGTTGTTAATCTTTTTTATAATCTTTTATAACTACAAAAGTTTACATTTCTCAACCTCTATATCTTTAGTTCTTAAATTTAAATATAAATCACCAAAATCACACATGACATATTACACATAAAACATTAATTAATTCTTACATCTTATGAGCCTTCAATACCAATGATCAAATCACATCTTTGAAAACTAAGAGTCTTCTAGGGCTTCTAAACATACTGATACATTGGAAAGCTATCAGAAAATGAATTACTGGTATCTGAATAGACACTGACATAGATCACTGAAAATGTTTATTTTCTAGCACCCACTGACCCCAGCCCTAATGAAGGGCATAAAGAAAAAAGCTATACTACCGTGAAAATAGAAATATTCTCAGACTCACGTATTGATTTTAAACTTCACTAAGATACATGGAGTGATAGAAGACAAGCAAATTTTATTGGCTTGGCATGGACGTTAGTTTAAGGCTCTGGTTCGAGTTCAGCTTTGGTGGGAAAGGTGCAAGGGACTTCCTTGCGTGAATCTCTCATTTAGTTGATACACCATATGCAAATTTATTATCTTTTATAAAATAGAAATCACCACTTTAAAAGAAGCATTCTATGGCTTATTAAGGTCCTTGACATTTACATAGAAGCTTTAGAAAATAAAGTTGTATCTCACCTATATTTTAGGGCTTTGACTGGAATTTGCAAGAGACTTCCCCCTTCAAATGGAAGGTGCACAGTATCATCATCATCTTGAAGCATCCGCTCAGCTTCCTTTAAAACACATGTGTGAAGAGATTACTTTTCCCAGAATATTTTTCCAAGAGAATCAGTTAATATATGACTTAAAGACTTAGAAACCCAAATTGACAATATTATTTAAATATAACATATCTGCCATTACTGAAAAATTCATTTTATAATCATGAACACATACTTGTAACATAAAATAAGAACAACCACTTGTTTAATTTAACATCATGACTAATTTAAAAATGGTATAGTAGTAACATTTCTTTTCTTTTCTTTTTTTTTTGAGATGTAGTCTCGTTCTGTCACCCAGGCTGGAGTGCAGTGGCACAATCTCCGCCTGCCGGGTTCAAGTGATTTTCCTGCCTCAAGGCTCCTGAGTAGCTGGGATTATAGGTGAGCACCACCACGCCAGCTAATTTTTTCTCTTTTTCTTTTTAGTAGAGACAGGGTTTCACCATGTTGATCAGGCTGGTCTCCAACTCCTGACCTCATAATCCATCCGCTTCTGCCTCCCAAAGTGCTGGCATTATACCACGCCCAGCAACTTTCATTTGTTTATGTAAATCACTTATACTATTTAAAAATCAACTACATAAATGTGATTATCAGTTATTATGTGGGTTTATAATGAAAGATAACATTCTGTGAAACCTTATCACAATACAATATGAGCAGAAGGTCATTTGGATAAGGCAGGGATTTTCAACCTCAGCAATACTGACATTTAGGTTATAATATTTATCTTTTGTAGAAGTCCTATGTATATAGAGTATTTCACGGCACCCCAGAATTCTACTTATTAGATGCCAGTAGCAGTCCCTCCAGTTATGGCAATCAAAAATATCTCAGACGTTGAAATACTCTTGGCAATGTCTCAGTCAAATACTCACACACCAATTTGCTGAGAGTATTTGTTGCTTAATTCCCCCCAGCCCACCCTGGTGATAATTACTAATAACCATCATGGCAGTTCCGATTCTCTTTTTAGAAGTACATCAATGAAGGCAGTATCTTAAATCATTTAGCAAATATTTACAGAACCCAGCAACGCAGACCACTATGGCTCAAGCCCACATTGAGACCCACTTGGAAAGTGGACACAGAACAAAATTAGGATGTTAATATTGGGGGTGATAGATAGGGAAGTAGAAGAGACACTGAGAGAACATTCCTATTTCTTTTCCTTACTAATAGAAATTTGACTATTTTGAGGTGCCAATGTGCCCAGACTGTAAAAAACAAATCAACAACAACAACAACAACAACAACAAAAACCCGAAATGAAATCTCCCAGCATTCCTTGCAACTTAGTAGGATCATGAAGTGCAAGCAGAACTTACTGGATGACATTCTAAAAAGACTCCTTAAACCTGACAATACGGTAAAACGATTTTGCCTTCTGTCCCTTCCTTTTTCCTGCTGTCTCTAATACTAACATGACAGCTGGAGTTTAACAGCCATTTTGACTCAAAGTGAAAGTGAGGATGGAAAACTATATGCTGAGGTCAGGAAAAAAGTAACAAGTAGCCCCTGATAAGCGGAGCTTAACACTGTATCACTTGCTTTCAAGAATTCTTTTACTTGAAACGCAATCACTTTGTGTTTAAAAGCCACTTTTACTTTTGTTTTTTGTTATATACCACTGAACCTTATTCTAACTAATATAGAAAGTAATAAACAGGCAATTTGGCCCATGTATTTTAGAGATAAAATATATCCTATTTGAAAAATCACCAAAAACTCAGGCCTGGCACAGTGGCTCACATCTATAATCCCAGCACTTTGGGAGGCTAAGGTGGGCAGATCACCCAAGGTCAGTAGTTAAAGACCAGCTTGGCCAACATAAAACCCTGTCTCTACTAAAAATACAAAAATTAGCCCCGCTTGGTGGTAGGTGCCTGTAATCCCAGCTACTGTAATCCCAGGCTGAGGCAGAGAGAACTGCTTGAACCCGGGAGGTGGTTGCAGTGAGCTGAGATCATGCCACTGCACTCTAGCCTGGGCCACAGAGCAAGACTCCATCTCAAAAGAAACAAAACAAAACACCTCATACATATTTACATATATAACTCTGAAGAAAACCAAAATTTTAATTTTAAAACTCTGGTGTCTTAATTCAAATTAAAATTCTAATTAGTGTCTAATTAAAGAATTTCAATTTTTGTTGAAAAATAAACATAAAACGAATAAAATTTTAATCTCCAAACAGAACCATAACATTTAAAAATATGTATCTTTTTCCTTATCTTTGATTTTCAAACAATACACTGAATGGGAAAATAGAGCAAGGACTACAACAAAACCATCAATCTATGTACTCAAGCCTCTACTTTTCCTTCTTATTAACTGATAGTATCAAGTTGGTCATTAAAAATCAAATTCCAATTCAGAATAAAGGATTTATGTTTAAATTGCAGCATACAAATTAACTAATTGTGGTACATAATAAGTGCATATAAAGACTAAAGTTTTATTACTTTTTAAAAAAGATAATTACTTAAAAATCCTTTTTTGTCATTATGTAGGTCAATTATTAAGCTATTAAAATTAAATATATGCTAAAATTTATGTTAAATGTATTTAAAGTTTACTTAGATACTATATTCTGATGTACAACTATTTTGTTACCTATATTTCAATATTGCTACAAGCTCTAATTCTTCTGAATGCTGATTAAGTAAGCACGTGTTATGTAATTTTTGAAAAGTATTCCTGTGTTAGAACTATAGAGGTACAAGATAGTGAAATGGTTAAGGGCCTACATTTGGAACAGTTACCTAACCACTCTCTGCCTCAGTTTCCCCATTTGTAAAATAGAGATAACAACAGTACCTACTACACTTTATAAGGTTCTTAGAAGGATGAAAGGAACTGATTCATGTAAAGTGATTATGATGGTGCCTGCAATATGGTACAAAATATTAAATAAGAAAGTGGTGTAAGTTTAAAATTCTCATCTTTTTACCTCTTTCTCTTTTTTCTTTTTGTCATCCTCTTTCTTTTTCTTACTTTCTGGCATGAGATCATCAAGCCAACTGAGTTCTCTCTTCGTGAAACACAGGTCCATGAGCTTGCGTACAAACACTAACGCAAGAACCTTTAAAAAGTGGGGACGAAAATAGTAAGTAACATATAATATAAACTGTATCACTTAAAGAGGAAAAGCATATTTACTAAAACTTGTTATAAAAAAATGCTTCATATAGTTTTTAAATTATTCACAATTATTTTGTTCCAAAGGAATTGAGTCAATTATTTATCTTTCTGAACTTTCTGCTAAAAAAAAAGAAAAGCTATAAATAGAGGAAGAAAGGAAATAGCATTCTTAGCCTTCTCCTACATAAAGCCTTACACTCTGTATAAAATTATGAAGCAGGTTAAACACTGAATATCAAAGCAAAAAAAAAATAATTTTTAAGACTTTATATATTACATAAGTATATATAATTTTTAAAAATCTCTTGAGCAACGCATTAGAGTACCTATTCCCAACATTAGGTTTTAACTTTTCAATCATATGGGAGAAATGAAATACTGCTTTAATTTGCTTTAACTGCTGCTGAAGATTAGCATGTTTTTGAATGCTGATTGGCCAGTGAGATTTCCACTTCTGTACTTGCTATTTTCTAACCTTTTGTTGGTTTTTATGACTTTTGTTTACGAATTTGTGAGTTCTGTGTAGCTTGAATAGAAATCCTTTATCTGCCTTATATGTTACAAATATTTTCTCCCAGTTCACAGTCTGATTTTACTTTTTATACTTTTTGAACATATAAGAAACATTTAATTATCATGTGGTGAAATACAACATATCTTCCTTTTACATTTGGATTTTCATATCTTCTTAGAAAAGTTAGTCCCAATCAATGGATTATACAATACTCTTTTACATTTTCTACTACAATTTATTTACCATTTAAATACTGAATTCAATTATGATTTCTGAACATGGTCTCAGATAAGGATTACAACATTACTTAGCTTCCAGTATACAGTTAAATCGTCCAATACTAAATTCTTCCATACAAAAGAAATACTACCTTTAATGAAATAACCTACTTACGGTATTCAAGTGATAATTCACAATATATTCAGATAAACTTCTGGACCCTTTTGTCTATTTTTTTTATTTGTCTGTTCATATGCCAATTCCATTTTATGGTGGCTATACTGACTTGTCAGCAATTTTTTAATTTTTGGTTATCAAAACAGTACAGTATCAACACATGAACAGTGAAGTAGATGGCAAAGACCCCGCCGCCCCCACTCCTAGCCAGGACTCCTTCTTAATTATCATTATCTTGTTATTCTCTAGTAGTTATGTCTCTACTTCTAATGAATATGTAATTTACATACAGTAAAACTGAAAAATATCATGTGTACAGTTTGATACTTTTGACAAGAATATACTACACATATAGTATATACTACTCATATAGTATCTTCATTACTTTTGACTTCTAGATCTGTCAAGTTCTAGAAAAGATGTATTGAAATATTTTAATAATGAACAATGCTGTTTTGGTTGCTTTGCATTTACATTTGAAAATGTATTTGTTCCATGAATGTCCTAAATTCTGAAGTTGTTTAAAAATACAAAATTGAGTCCTGTAGCCTAAGGACTAAAAAAGCATAACAAATGAAAATTTACAAAATAAAATAATTCAGACTGAGAAACAACTGGTTTATATCTAGAAACAGCTAATCCACATTTTCAAACACCTAAAGAACTTAAAATGCATTATTCCTTTTCTCAAAGTCAATTATAAATAAGAAAATTATTATAAAAATAAACAAAATTTTATTAATTAGTGACAAAATAAGTCTGAAGAAATCTTACCATCATGGGAAAAACCACTGCAGCAGCTGAAACTTTTATCACCCATAAAAGGACCAAACAAGTAAGCTGAATGACTGTGAAAATATGGACCTTCCAGAGAGGCACATAACGGAGGTATATCAAATCAGGCTGATGCTTAGCAGGCATTCCAAATAATTTTATACGGTCAAAAAACTATGAATAGAATAAAAAACGAACAAAGAAGATTTCAATAAAATATTTCTGCTCCTTAGAAGAATTTATACTCAACTTTAGAGTTTTGTGTATTAAACTGTAAGTTCCTTGACATCTTCTGATAATACTGGAGAATGTTACAGCAAGGATTCTCTGGATCCAGGAGGGTGGGCAGGGCGGGAACCAAGCAACCACTTGAACTGCTGTAATTAATGTAATCAGGAAACTCAATCCAAAATGTTTAATTCAGAGGATTAAAATATCTAGATAAACTGATACTGAAAATAAAACTGAGCCAATGCCTATCTTTTTGAGCTTTAATTTCTTCATTTACACATTGGGAGTAAGATCAGCCCTAATCGTCTCACAAAACTCTTAAAAAGCAAGTGAGATAAGGAAATAATTTCTTGACCAATGAAGAGTAGATCCTGGACGATGCTGAAATAATAAAGACGCTTTCCTCCCACTAGCCTATGAGCTGGAAACTTTAGACAACATCCTTTCCATGAGAAGAGGTGGTCACGTAGTGCTAACTGTGCTTTATGATCTGTTTGGGTTTTTGGTTTTCTGTTTTTTTTGAGATAGGGTCTCACTGTGTAATCCAGGCTGGAACGCAGTGACTGGCATGACCACAGCTCACAGTAGCCTCAAACTCCTGGGCTCAAGCAATCCTCCCACCTCTGCCTCCTGAGCAACCAGCACTACAGGTACACACCACCACAGCCAGCTAATTTTTACATATTTTGTAGAGGCAGGATTTCACTGTGTTGTCCAGGCTGGTCTCAAACTCCTGGCCTCAGGTGATACTCCTGACTCAGACTTCCAGTGTGCTGGGATTACAGACATGAGTCACCACAGCCACCCCAAATGTTTTATACTAAAATTAGATCACTACAAACCTTAAGAAGTTTTATTAGGTTGCTTCCCACTAACTATTAAAACAAAATGATGAAATCACTGGCTTAGCTAATAATCTTCAGTATGTCCTTCTGTTTCTCTGTTTCCTGATTTACATTAGGATTTCTTCCTTTCCTCTCTGCCAAATGGTTAGTGTATTGAGGATTCCAAAATGATGTATATGCTAGGCTTCATAAGCTGTATTGTGTTACACAAATGGCAGGTCTGGCTATTTTTATAGGAAACTAATATCTACCTTTTTAAGTACCAAACCTTTTTTCTAATCCAATCCTTTTGATCCTCCCTCTCACTATACTAGTCTTGATTGAGTTATAGGGCTTTTCATTGTCTTCAATTAAAAACAGGTAAGGACCATGTCAGCTCATGATCTCACTTTCTGGAGGAAAAAACGTGCAGTAAGTAATCACTTGACAAATGTCATCTGAAATCATCAGTTAGAAAACTAACCTCCCCCCAAAATGTCAGAGTTGAGAATAAATCACTACTATCATAAAAACAATCTTTGCATACTAAAAATATCAAGTTTCTATAGAAAATCATTCAATATTTAAAACTTGCCTGGATTCCTTTTAATGAGGAAACTCCCATATAAAGGAAAACACCATACAGAACAGGCATTGGAATAAACTGTAAGTAAAATGACCACAATTAGAACTCATGAGTAATAAGTACACAAAAACATAATCAGTGAGTAATTATGGGGCTAGAATTAAAAGATCCTGCAATCATGAGGATTAAACCTACCTAACATTCCCACACATAAAAAAATTGCTAGTATACAATAACCTCCTTGAAAAATTGCTCATCTTCTACATATTGCTTCCTAAAATGGGAGTATGTTTACTTAAGAGCAGGGGTACTGCAGTCAGACTTAGTTTTAAGTCAAAACTTAACCTTTCTGCACCTCAGTTTCTGTATCAGATTGCAGTGAAGATTCAGTGACTTCGAATACATAAAATGCTCCAAAAAGCACCTGATACATATTAACCACACAAAAAATGTTACCCATTATCATTGCCATCACTACCTCTGCAGTGAATATTATACAGTAGCCTTTACTGAATATAATTAAAATCCACCTCCAAAATAAAGTCCTTACTACTTTCGCAGTTATGACAATCCCAAACTGCCTACGTGGTTCACACATATTCATCCTACAAGAAAGTCTGGCTATTAACAGAGCCCATCTGTTTACTCAAAAGCCACAAACAGCACTCTGACCTAAGGGAGAGTCCTACAAGGAAAAATGAATTAAAACACTACTGAGGAAAACCACATCTACTACACCTCTTCTGAACAACCTAGCATATCCTTCTAAGGACACTGGAAAAAGAAGAAACAATTTATGAAGAAAACATATTTTTAAAAATCTAAGCAATGCCTGCAATCCCGGAACTTTGGGAGGCCGAGGCGGGTGGATCACTGTGGCTAAAAGTTCTCGACCAACCTGGCCAATATGATGAAACCCTCATCTCTACCAAAAATATAGAAATTAGCTGGGCATGGTGGCACGTGCCTGTAGTCCCAGCTACTTGGGAGGCTGAGGTACAAGTGTCATTTGAACCCAGGAGGCAGAGGTTGCAGTGAGCTGAGATCACGCCACTGCCCTCCAACCTGTGTGTTGGAGTAAAACTCTGTCTCAAAAAGAAAAAAGAATGCTAGGAAAAAGAAATAAGAATGGAAAAAGCTCCTGAAAATTAAATCTATAAATATCAAATTAACTAAAATTTTTTAGTAACAATTTTGATGGACTGAACACCCACCCATATAAAGATATGAAAAAAAAGGGAAATTTTCTTTAATAGCAAGGGGTAAGAAGGATAACATTTCAGAAGGTCTGAGATCTGTTTAATTGGAGTTGAAGAAATTTGTAACAAGAGTCAGTAGAAGAGAAGAGGAAGTAAAGAGGGCAAGAAAATTCCCACAGCAGACAGAAGGCACAAGTTTCTTGAGGATACTGACTGAGCACAGTAAATGAAAAGCCCCTGCCTACCTGCCTCCCTAAATATCTGAATGAGATTTCACAAAACTGGAAGTTAAAAAAAGAACTCTGAACAAGTTCACCATTCATGGTACCATGCGTAAAAATAATTTATCAATACAAAAAATGAATACAATAAAAAGGGGAACCTGCACATATAATTTTTTGCAGTAAGGGAAGGTAACAGATATTAGAAAAGCTTATTTGGTCTTGAGGCTTGGGCTGGAATAAAACAGTGTATATTTCTGCCTCCCTGCAGGCAAATCACACTGCTTAGTCCTCAGCAAATATCATCGTAACACCATTTATGTGTCCCCAGAGGGTTTAAATTTCTATAATCTAACTTACAGGAGAAGCAAGGAAGGCTTAGTTATCGTCATAGCACAAAATGTAAATGTTAATAACAACTTTTATAATAGTACTAAAATTAAAAGTAGAAACCAACAAGAGGGATATGTTAGAAGGGGGAATGAGGATGGAGTCATAGGTGAAAAGACACCACAACCTTAGGTCAGAAGCTCTCAAACTCTGTGGTTTCAAGATCCCTTTATATTCTTAAAAATTACTGAGGTCATTTCCCCTCCCCCACAATTACTTTTGTTTATGAGTGTTTTATACATATTGATATTTGCCATCTTATAACTTTTTTTGTTTTTAGAGACAGAATCTATCTCACTTTGTCACCCAGGTTGGAGTGCAGTGGCCCAATCACAGCTCACTGCAGCTTTGACCTCCCAGGTTCAAGCAATCCTTCCATCTCAGCCTCCTGAGTAGCTCAGACCACAGGAGCATGCCACCACACCTGGCTAATTATTTTTATTTTTGTAGAGACCAGGTCTCACTATGTTGCCCAGACTGGTCTTGAACACCTGGCCTCAAGCAATCCTCTTAAAGTGCTGGGATTATAGGTGTGAGCCACTGCACCTGGCATACATTATTTTAAAAATAGATACAGTGTACCACTGAAATGCTTGCTATACTAAAAACCTAATGACATTATTTTCCAAGTAAACTGTAAAAAACAAATCTAATTTTAGATATTTTAAGTATATTTTAATGTTTCATTTTCACATAACTAAGTATAAACGTTATAGTAAGATTTTAAAACACTGCAATAAAGAGATTTTACCTTTAGGACTGAAGTCATGAACACGGAGAGGCCCATTAGAATAAAAATCACTAATCCTGTAACTCGCTGTTCACGAATTCCCAAAAACTTGGGTTGTTCCCCTGGAGCAGAACATTCAGACTCGACTTTTAGGCTGTTGACATGACTTATTGACAACACTGTTGCAGCCACAAACCATGGAAGTCCCATGACAGAGCAAACTCCCAACATAACACCAACCATGAGCAAATCAAGGTGATAGCCAGCTCCTTTCTGCAAAGTGAAATGAACATAAATATCTGAAAGTCTAAACTGTTCTCTCAATATAAATTCTACACTCATTATAAAGAGGGAAGAAGCTCATTTTCATCTTGCACCTTTTAATGTTGTAATCATTATGAAAACACCTCAAACCCTTGAAGAATCGCAATGCTTAAGGCAAAATTCTAAAATTACCTTTAATTTGTGCTCCTTTCTGTTTATAATTACAGCTGTGATTTGTTGATCCATAAAGATGAGAATAGTACAAAGCAGAGCAGGAATAGCAGCTATTAATAAGGTCCACCAAGGATTATCTCCCAGTGGGTTTATGATCCACCCTCTGTCTGGATGAGTAGGCTGTTAAAAAATTAAAAATAATTTTTAAAAAGTCTCCTTCCTGTATTGTACTAAATTTCTAAAGCACAAACTTGATCTGTTCCAAGAAATACCAAGAAATAGAAAACAGCTGAATTAAATCTTGGGATACATGGTGTATTTTCAAAGATGGCTACAGGAATTCTTCCTATCCCTGCAAGTAGACCCCTGTCATGTGACTCAATCTTTCCGCCTGGAGGTGGCATCTGCTTCCTTCCCCCTTGAAACCAAGATGATCCTGTGATTTACTTTAACCCACAGAATAAGGCCAAAGTGACACTGTGTGAATTCTAAGTATTAACCTTAATGGACCTTGCAGCTTCTTCTCTAACTCGCGTTCAACACTGAAATAATTATGCTTTCGAGTAAGTCTAGATAAGCATTCTTGAGGATAAGACTATCCTCAATACAGTCTATATGGTAGTGAGTATGTGAGGGCGGGGGCAGGAGGGAGGCTGCGGTGAGAAGGCCGCCATGTGGGGTACAGTTCCCCAGGCAACTATCCCAGCTGTTTAAACCGTCTGAGCTGAGGCCTCAGACATGCCAACAAAAGCATATTGCTCCATTAAGCCACTAGATGACTGCAGCCCATACAGCAGACCACTAACCAGCTAAACCTACTCCCAACTGCCATAGAATTATAAACAAATAAACGGCTGTTATTCAAAAGTTTGTTATGTAGAAATTGATAAGCAAACTGGAATGTCATTTCAACATGTTCCTGCATAATTCATATAAGGTGAAATCAAACTATCTACTAAATTTCTAAACTAAACTGCTTTATAGGTCTTGCACACTTAGTGATTTTGAAAGGGTCAGCACTAAATCAGAACTAGCCCTCAATACATGATATTTCCAAAGCAACTACTAACTATAAAAACAGGACATTTTATAAGATACTAAAACATTTTTATGGTACAATATAAGATTTATTTGATAGCAAAAATTTTTTAAAAGATCAAGAGAGTTTACTATGTTTGGGAGTGAATATACTGAAACCTAAACATATGTGTTTATTATCTCGACTTGGTATTAAGCTTGTTTCTTCTTCAGGAAAACATTTGTCAATACAAAAGGGAAATTTAATACCTTCAAAGTTCAGGTAATTCAATCTTCCCACACTGACATATATGAAACTACCTCATACTCAATACAGTATATGAATAAAAATATTTTATCCTACTTATACAATGCCATTTCCTTTTTTGTTGTTGTTGAGAGCAAGTTTCAGTCTTGTTGCCCAGACTGGAGTGCAATGGCAAAATCTCAGCTCATCACAACCTCTGCCTCCAGGGTTAAACTGATTCTCCTGCCTCAGCCTCCCAAGTAGCTGGGACTACCGGCATGCGCCACCATAACTGGCTAACTTTTTTGGTATTTTTAGTAGAGATGGGGTTTCTCCATGTTGGTCAGGCTGGTCTCGAACTCCTGACCTCAGGTGATCCACCCGCCTCGACTTCCCAAAGTGCTGGGATTGTAGGTGTGAGCCACCACACCCGGCCTGCCATTTCCTCTTAAGAGTTCCTTGATTTGTTTCCACAAGCATATTTTATGCCTCTTGAAACCAGCCTATTACCTGAAAGGCATATCAATAAATGAATAACAAGGACATATTTAAGAACCAGAATAAGGAACTTAGGCCAGGATTACAGGAAATTATATCAAGTTTTGAACCAATATTCATTTGTAGTTTCATTTATTTATATAGTCTCATAAAACTTAAAGTTTAATATTTTCGTATTTTTATGTTAAAAATACAGACTTTCTAAAAATTGTTGGCAAATTATTTTCCACCCATGTTTCCTACTTTAAAAACTACTGGTTTTAAAAATAACATTTTTTGATCTCAGTGCAATATTATAAAATAATATATAATATAATCATTTATAATAGAAAATAAAATGATCATTATATTCCTTATTTCTGATCCCCTTTAAACGAGCTGCTTCTGAAAGAAGTCATCTAACTTTTAAATTAAATATAACCAGTGACACTACTTAAAATGTATCTTTCCTTCTAGCATAAGCAAAGGAGGATGGAAGAAAACAAAAACAGCAAAAGGAAAATGAATATATGCAAAGTTGCTAATGAAGGCACAAAATTCAAATGGATGCTCAGATCAAATAGCATTTTTCTCATAGAACACATTTTTTTTTTCTCCTGATGCTGCTGGAAATTGTTACATGGAGCTTTCCAACTACTGTCAGATATATTACCCTTCTAGAAATGTAACTAGAGCCTACATGCCACTCCTCTTAGAAAATTCAACTCTAGGTTACCTTTTTTTTTTTTTTTTTTTTTTTTTTGGAGACAAGAGTTTTGCTCTTGTTGCCCAGGCTGGAGTGCAATGGCACGATCTCGGCTCACTGCAACCTCTGCCTCCCGGGTTCAAGTGATTCTCCTGCCTCAGCCTCCTGAGTAGCTGGGATTACACGCACAGGCCACCACATCTGGCTAATTTTTGCATTTTTAGTAGAGACAGGGTTTCACTATGTTGGCCAGGCTGGTCTTGAACTCCTGACCTCTAGTGATCCGCCTGGCTTGGCCTCCCAAAGTGCTAGGATAACAGGTGTAAGCCACTGCACCCAGCCTGGGTTACTTCTTTATAAAAGAACAAAGGGTGTTTCCTTCTCCCTGGAAGGTACAGCAAGAACTCCAGATAGGAAAGCAAACACTTTCTTTTTGTTTTTTTAAATGGCTCCCTATACCTTACCACAAATATTTTCACTCACTGTCTGTAATGGACCAGCATTGATACTTTTAAGTTCACATGTCTCTTTTCTATCCATATTGTCATTGTTTATACATATGAAAAATACATATAAATTATTTCCTTTCAAAGCATCAGCTCTTCAAAGAGACTACATAATTTTTAAAAGTAACTAGTGAGAAAATGTTATCTTGCTTTAAAGTGGTATGATATTACTAAGTAACAAACAGACACTTGTTTTAATCCTTACCTCAAATTTTTCAGGAACATGAAGTTTAGGAGATGGAACTCCTACAAGGTAGTCAATTATAACCATTATTACTATTGTGAGAAATACAGCAAAATCACTGATTGTCGATCGCACCTATGTTAAAGGGATTATGTTAATATAAACACAGAAATACTATGGGTTCTTTCTAAATAATTCACATCTTTCATTTATAAAATTGTCACTATGAAGTATAAATAGAGCTTTTAACTAGTGGCAATGTTAACAGTGAAACACATTTGTATTTCTTTCCAAAAAGATAAAAAACACATTTCACAACTAACCTAGCAACTCTCATTGTACCATCATCTTTCTACTGTGAGCTCAGGCATGTAATATACATTTTTCACTATGAATAATTTCTTTATTAACTGTTAGCATAGAGTATTAACCTCAAAAAACATATTACCATTTTGAAATAAACCAAAGACATAAAAACTAGAAATATAAATACCAGAATTCCAAAATTACATTGCAGTTACCTTGGTAGGAAAGTAACGCTTGGTCTTAAATTGCTTGAGGAATGAAGACAGAAAAAATGTTGTGAAAAACAAGATGACACACCAAAAGAGCACATCTGGAATATAAGGTCCATGATGACCACAAGCTGATCCTATGAATACACCATGAAATTTTTTACATTCCTGGAAACAAGGAGAGAGAAAAAAGAGAATGGAGATTCTTAAGCATCCAATAAATTACTCATGAATTTCACTGACTCTTCAGATGCAACTGATTGTAAGAGACACCATCATTTTGTTCTCCTTATAAAGAAAAAACATTCACCAGTTAACTGTAACACACTTCCAATTAATTGTAATATATATCCTGAGTTCAAGATGCTATAATTTGAAAAACTTTGTGAGTCTAAAATCACTAAAATAGAGTATTTTGCCAAGTCACTTCATAAACTCCTTTCTTTCAATTCCATATTTCTCTAGTGAAAGGCTCACAGTAAGTATTATTTATAAAATGTTTCTTCTGTATTCTTGCTTGTCCACAATTTTACTCCTTTTCCTTTATTTCTGATGAAGTGGTTTAAAACAAAAGCAGCAGAAAGAAAATTAATACTATGCTCTTTCACGATGCTGGATAAGAGATGGCTACAGTACCTAAGTTAAAATCAGTAATAAAAATTGTGTTTAGGTTTTCCGACTTGACTCAGTACCTTCAGACTAAAAGCACAGGACCATGAGCAGTAAAATGACCATTAAAATATTTCATTAATAGACCAGGCACGCTGGCTCACACCTGTAATCCTAGCACTTTGGGTGACTGAGGCGGGAGGATCACAAGGTCAGGAGTTCAATACCAGCCTTGCCAAGATGGTGAAACCCCATCTCTACTAAAAATACAAAAATTAGCCGGGCGTGGTGGCATGAGCCTGTAATCTCAGCTACTCAGGAGGCTGAGGCAGGAGAATCATTTGAACCAGGGAGGCGGAGGTTGCAGTGAGCAGAGATTGCACCACTGCACTCCAGCCTGGTGACAGAGCAAGACTCCTTCTTGAAGAAAAAAAAACCCATTAATAAAATCAGTAATATAATCAATAATATGGCATAATATAATGCAATTATAGAAACTATTGACTTGATTTTCCTTTAGGGAAAAAAATAACTGAAAGGCAACTAGAAATTAACAGAAGCAGATGCCACTAAAGTTCTCCTTTTCTTACTTATAAACTAATGGAGCTCATTTTAACAAAACAAGCCAGTTGTACTGAAAGACAAATAGTTAAATGTTCCATTATTTTCACATGCCATGTGCTGAGACTAGTAAACCTAATCCATTCCATGGATATGAAAATAAAAGCTATACCATCACCACAAAACAAAAAAACCCACCCCACATGGCCCTCTGGGATAACATGAAAGCACTTTTATCTATATATCAAGACATCTTACCCATCATCAAATGAATTCTTTGTAACAAATCACTTTTACTTGAACACCTCTATTAAGTATACCTCTTCTTTAACAAAAATGACTTTCGAAATATAAAATAGTAAAGCATGAACGGATGTTAATGTTATTTGTTTTTAGAGACAGGGTCTCATTCTGTTGCCCAGGCTGGAGAGCAGTGACACTATTATAGCTCACTGTAATCTCTAGTTCCTGGGCTCAAGTGATTCTTCCTCCTTTGACTCCCAGTAAGCTAGCTGCAGGCTTGAGTTGCCACACCAGGCTAATTTTTTAAGTTTTTTCAAGACGGTGCCTTGCTATGTTGCCCAGGCTGGTCTCTAACTCCTGGCCTCAAACAATACTCCTGCCTTGTTCCCCCAAGAGTGCTAAGGTTATGGGTGTGAACCTCCATGCCTGGCTACTTTTACTGCTTTAAATCAGCACTGCCAATAAATAGATGTATTAGATGATACAGATAATTTAACATTTCCATCACAGAAATGAAAATACAGAAGCCAATAGTCACACGAATTGACTGAGCATGTGAAATGTGGCTAGTTAATTGAAAAACTAAACTTTTAATTAATCTTAATTTAAGTTTAAATGGACACGTGGCTAATGGCTACTGTACTGGACAATACAGCCTTAAATCATCAATGGAATAAAATTTCAGATAGTATCCTCCAAATTATATACTTAGTGACTATCACCTTTAGTGAGAAATGAATGACCTACAGTTACTTATATGATATAAAAAGCAAGGGATGTTAGTTTTAATTCTGACTGCTGGCAAACTTTACAACTTTATTTCTAATTCCCAACTTTGGAAATGTCAAAAATAAATATTCTAGGGTTAGGACAATATTCCCCAACAGAACACGAACATCTATAATAGTATTCAGCACAGGGGAGGTGTTCATTACATGTTTTTAGCCTTTTTCCTTTCTCTTCCCTTAATGCTCGAACCAGACCAGTCTTGATGAGTTAGACTATGTTAACTCAGACATTTAGGATACTAGCACAGCACTCATGATCTTCTAAGTAAGTTGTCAATGGAGCAGATGAATGGATAAAATGGCAGGACAAGTGGATATAAAATACTGTGAAGTCCGGTATACGTAGCCACAGTCCCAGTAAACACTTCCTTTGAACATATCAATCTAAGCAGAATTAGAAAATAGAAGTATATTCACATCTTTATACTGATCATATCTTGGAAGTCACATATAATCCACCTTTATCTCTCTTACCAGTTTCATTCTTTTCAGCTTATGCTTTTGAGCACATGACACATAAAAAAAGTGGCAACTACTACCTGGTTAAAACAACACTATGTTCTGAAAACATACTACCTATCCATCAATCAAGAAGAAAAGTATGTCTAATTAGAAAAATCTAACAGAACCATATCAATATATATTTAAAACCCTTTATTTCAGAATATACTCACAGAAACAGTGAGATTTCTCCAGGGAATATTATGTGCTGTTATATTCTCTTTCTTCCATTGCGCTAGAGTTTCGTTGCTGGGGTTAGGAGGTTCAGTACATACACATCTGAGAAATTAGAGTAGGATACATTTTTAAGAATCCTGAATTTCATGCTTACATTTTACTAAATCAATTATACATTGTGGTAGTTTTTAACTTCTTCACTTTTTTCCCCACATTACAAAGCATGGAGACTAGAAAGTGAAAACTACATCAGAAACAACAGAATGGAACAGAGTTTGGGTTATAGAAATAAACCCAATACAAATACCAAAATGTTTAGTGAATTAAGCTAGTTAAAATGTGTCCTTGCTGGGAAGCACTATTTTACTTAAAAATCTGAGATGAGTCCACCATGTTTAGCAAGATGAGTCTCCACTAAAGCTTATCTACTCGACCTCCACAGCAGTTACTGCTATCTCTTCCCAAACCCCCATTGCATGTATAGATTCCCAATAAGAGTTATACTACCATTAATTCTTTATATCTGACCAGCCCTACCTACTCACAGTCACCCTTTATTGATCTTAAGGCTCATTCTTAAATAAATAAAAAATAGTTTCTCATCAGGACAGGAATAGGAGAGTTATAAGGAAATCAGTATTGAGTTCATATCCAGAACTATTTCAACCACCTAAAAAAGCTAGAACACACATAAGCGAAGAAACTTTTAAATACGAACTTAAAAGATGAAAAGAAATAATCACGAACATTCCAAACTCGATTATGAGCTGTTTGAGAAAAAGCAAGAAGACAGACTTTGGAGTCCATCCAGGCTTTTAGTAGCTGACTGACCTAAGGCAAGTTTTAACCTCCAAGGCAGTCAGCTTCTTCATACACAAAAGGGGCTATGATGTGAACAGGTAACACTACAAATATAATTTATAATATAAATTAGGCAACACTCCGAATACAGTGCCTGCAGATGTTCACAGAATGTTGGCCAAATAAATGCTTTTCATAGAAGGAAACACTACTCTAACTGGCTGACACTAACTATAAAAGTCATGCTTTATAAAGGTCAAAGAAGCCAAAGGCAAGAAAAGAAAGACAAAAAAAATTTTTTTTTAATTAAGGCTTCTAATTCGGCATCATAGTGTAACTAGTATATTCAAATAGGTCAATATCACAGGAATTTTCATACCCTCTTTATTCTGTCCATTAAGAGTGTGCAAGGAGTAGCAGGGGAAGAAGGACGAATAAACGAAAGGGGGAAAGCACATGTATCTGGGGCTTAGGTGGGTAGAAAAAGAAAAGTTGTATCCTTTTGTGTCTTTTGGTAACCATATTTTTCCCTGTAAATCAATCAAATGCAGTCCCGCATTTATACCAAGCGTGACTGCTACAGACACCAAATAAAGGCATCTACTTAGAGATGTCTACTTTTAAAGTGTATTTTACTTTTATTGAATATACTTGCCAAATTTTTGTAACTATTATACATTTCTTTTCAAATCCTATTTTATTTTAGAGTTTAAAAAGATTTTCATTGCATATTTTTCTCATCAAAAGGAAAGCACTATAAACAGCAGATGAATGTATTGAAATAACTTTCATTAAAAATTATCAAGCTTTAAAAATATTAATGATGCAAAATTTGAAGAATACACAAATATAAAAAATATAGTCTACATTCTATCATACATCTAAGATTTAGTTAAAGAATATAAGATCCAATGTAACAATTGCTCGACTCAAATATATGGTGGATCAGCTGCCAAACAATCAAATTTAAATTGGCCAATCCAATTCAAACACGTGAATAAGCTATTTCAGTGGACAAAAAAGACTGAATTTTACCAATTTTATTTTTGTCCACTGAATGCTTTGACAATATCTCATCTGAAACAAACACGTCACTATCACATGGCTAGTCAGGTAGTTATAGCTAGTTACACTATCACACTGCAAAAAAATTCATCTTTGACATCTTTGCAAAAACACATTTTAGTATTAGAGGAAAAGAGAAATACTTACGAGTAGCTGGTCAGTTCATCTAAGTTGTTGTGCATATTAAATGCATACGTTTCTCCTAAATCAAAGAGCTTCTCCAAAGCCTCGTAGATGAATATAATGCAAATAAGAGCTGCAAAAGCCTCTTCTGTAAATCGAGTAATATAACACACAAGGCTGCTTGCATCTGTTGCAACCAAAACAATGCACAGAAAAGAAGTCCACAGACCAATACTGGTTCTTAAAGACAGATAGGAAAGCTGATAATCTCTGTTTAGAAAGAAAAATATGAATATGATAAACATATATGGAATAGTATTTGTACCTAAAATTTGTCATAGCAAGCAACAGCAACAGCATGAAAACATGAATCCTAAAAGAGAATGAATCACAGAATGACAAAATAACGACTAGAGAAAACTCTAACATATTCTTCTGCTTCAACTGAAGACTAGCTTATTAATAGATTTGTTTTAACTTATATAAAAGATTTACAGTGAAAATCTACTAGACAATAAATATTTCAAAATCATTAGAGCTCACTTTATAAATCAGTTATGAGTAAATGACAGACATGGAGTCTATATGAAAAAACCATTGCATCTTACTCCATCTAAAGATGCAGACCTCATATGTGTCAATTTAGTAATCAGCTCCAACATCATTACCATGACTACCATTACTCTCCTCTCTCACCATTATCACACAGAAAGTAATTTCTTATTTTAAACTTCAAGAAATTAGAATCCATACTTCAGGTCATTGCATTCTCTATTAGTCTATGTGGCATGCCAGACTGGAATTGCATTAAGCTTTAGTGAGCATGGAACCAGAAAAACAGAGTTGGATCCATCAAATATGTCATAGCATCAAGTTGTTTAAGCTAAAATATATAAACTTCATTTATGTCACAAAAAGAATACTAGAAGCTGGGTACGCGGTGGCTCACGCCTGTAACTCCAGCACTTTGGAAGGTCGAGGTGGGTGGATCACTTGAGGTCAGGAGTTTGAGACCACTCTGGCCAACAAAGTGAAACCCCATCTCTACTGATAAAACAGTTAGCTAGGCATGGTGGCAGCACCAGTAATCCCAGCTACTCGGGAGACTGAGGCAGGAGAATCACTTGAACCTGGGAGGCAGAGGGTACAGTGAGCCGAGATCACACCACTGCACTCCAGCCTGGGCAACAGAGTGAGACTCAGTCTCAAAAAAATAAATAGATAAAATAAGGAACAGTACTAGCCATGTTGAATTCAAAGTCTAACAGCTACAGTACACTATATTCATTTCTGCAGCGTGAACAACCTCACCAACAGAAACTGACACTTCACTCTGATTGCTTCAACCCAACTCAGATTAACACCTTCTTACTGGTTTAAATTTGTTGGCACAAAGGATTTGTATTTAGCCCTCAAGTTATTTGCTTGTCAGCATTCAAATCCAGTGATTTTATACTCAAAGACAATCTTACTTTCTTCATCTCCAAGTTACTGGATTAAGAATGGAAGAGGCCAGAGTGCAGTCAATCATACAGTAGCTCAAAAATAATGAGAATGCATTACTTTTCAGCAATTAGGTAATTCCCTTCTAAGTTAATAAACAATTTCATATATAATTGTATATACATCCAAACACACGTGATAAGTAGAGGACTATTACTTACCTGCAGAATTTATATAAAATTTTTTCAAACACTAGAACTGGACCTGTGCTCCCCAATATTGTTAGAGGTTGCCCAGCAAACAATGAATAGGCAATCCCAGTTAATGATGCTCCAAAAAGAGACTCTATTGCACTCTGTTTAAGGAAAAAAGAAATGAATAAAAGCAATACATCATAAACATTTCTCTAACCTACTATAATACATGTAAGGCATCTGGAAAATAAAAATACCCATCAAGCAGTTATAAAGTCAACGCTCCTTTGAGCTTTTAATTTAAAATATAAAAAATTCAAATACATTTTAAATACACAAGAAAAATTGTTATCTTTTTGCATATTAAAAAGAAACTGTTGTGATCATCCTTAATTCAAAACTCAATACAGGTTGAGTATCCCTAAACCAAAACTCCACACTCCAAACTTTTTGAGTGCCAATATGACACTGAAAAGGAAATGCTCATTAGAGCACTTCAGATTTCAGATTAAAGATGCTCAACCAGACGTATAATCCCCTAAAAAATCAAAAATCTGAACTACTCCTGGTTCCAAGAATTTCGGATAAGGGATACTCAACCTGTGCTGTGGGAAGAAAGGAGCAAAGAGCAAATGGGAGACACACACGCAAGGGCTTCAACTTCATCTATACATGTTTTATTTCTTAAGTCTGTGAGTACAGAGGGATATGTATAATTATTTGAGTACCTTTATATGGCTGAAATAGTTCATTTTAAAAATAAAAAATATTAAATACTCAGTATGGTGTTACAAAAAAGAACTGCTATAAAAAATTCTTTCGAATAGGTGATAAATCAACATGGGACTCTCAAACTGATTTCTAAAGAGCAAAACTTTCCACATATTTTAAAGAAATTAATATGATAGGCTTAATCATCCAAACTGATATACTTATCACTAAAGTTTGGCAAGAAAAAATAAAGAGAAAATTAAAGACTAAGAGGATTTAAATCAAAGTTAGTACACTGATTTTGTACCACCACCACCGTTACATTCTGATTAATTAGGCTATCAGATGATTAGCTATGCCACTAGACAAAGGGGGAAGGAAGCAGAAAGGAAAGAATAGTTTACCACATACAAACATCAAGGTCAACTGGAATGTACTATCCAGAAAAGCCAGCCCATAATGGGTAAAGGCAAGGAAAAAAGGAGCTCGTAAGAGACAATCCTCCTGAAATGAGAGGCGGTGCAGCAACAGACAAAGAGGAAGGCTTCCGAAACTAGATTTCGGGTGGGAAGACTAAGTACTACGAGTTGTTCAGCCATGGTCGTATCTTAACGTTTCCAAGCCTAAGCTTTCTCACTTTGAAATGGGGGTAATGATAACTAAAACATAGTATTTGCAAAAACGCCTGGCAAGCATGGTGTCTGGCACACAGAATACAGTGAATGAATGGTAGCAATTCTCATCATCAGCTAGAACGGCATCTCCCAAAATCAAAATCACAAAATAACAGTACGCAATGAAAGTATATTTCACCTATTAGAATAAAAACAGGATCAAACTTAAAGATAAATAAATGTATCTTTTGGCAACATAAAGAAGTGCCCACGTTAATGACACATTTGTTAATTGTTGAGGCTAAATTTGTTTTATTGCCTGTGGGGAAAAACATTTGTTCTTAGAAGAACAAATGGGCACGGTGGCTTGCTGGGCCACGGTGGGCTCGCGCCTGTAATCCCAGCACTTTAGGAGGTCAGGAGTTCAAGACCAGCCTGGCCAATTAGCTGGGCATGGTGGTAGGCACCTGTAGTCCCAGCCACAAAGGAGGCTGAGGTAGAACAATCGCTTGAACCTGGGAGGCAGAGGTTGCAGTGAGCAGAGATCGTGCCACTGCACTCCAGCCTGGTTGACAGAGTGAGACTCTGTCTAAAAAAAAAAAAAAAGAAAGAAAGAAAATCCTTAGTTCAATTATAATAAGCATATTTAGGAACAAATTTATGCAGAGGTTAAGTCAAAGGAAAAAAAATGGGCCAGGCAAAGTGGCTCACATCTATAATTTCGGCACTTTGGGAGGCCAAGGGAGGTCGATTGTTTAAGCCCAGGAGTTCAAGACCAGCTTAAGCACAGCAAAATTTGGTATCTACAAAAAATATGCTAGGCGTGGTGGTACATGCCTATAGTCCCAGCCACTAAGGAGGCTGATTATGAGAGAAGTCCAGGAGGTCAAAACTACAAAGAACTGAGATCATGCCATCATTGCACTCTAGCCTGAGTGACACAGTGAGATCCTATCTCAAAAAAAAAAAAAACCCAAAAACAAAAATCAGAAACAAAGGAAAAAAATGTCTAACTGGTATACATACAGAGACAAAAAGCAAAACGTTGAGATAAGAAGAAAGAAGATGGCAAAAAAACATTAACAAGGACAAATGGGTACAAATTCAGGTCCCCCCCCAATCTTGAGTTGAAACGCAGATATTGCCACATGAAGACCTTCTGTTTTTCTAATTTTTGAACTGTTTCTATGTTCACTGCCATACTGCTACCTATCTTTTCTCTAAAGAAATCACAGCCTATTATACTGCCTGCCTACCTCATTCTCACATTCATAAGTTTCCATTTTGCCTATGAGAAGCCCTACCTACCCTTACCTTTCCATCACACACTTGTATATACACCTTCTCTACTGCACTACTCTTTTAAATCATTAAATACTCCCACCAATCTTCCCTCCTTCTCAAAACTCTAGTTTGGTTTTCACAGAATTTCATCATCCTGATTCCTCTTTTAGGTCTATGTGCCTAATTTGCTAGGATCATTTTCCTCCTCCATCCCATCGTTCCTCCATTCTATATATCTAGTAATTTCACACTTTTTCCCTCTCCTCCTCTCTCTGTAAATTATCTTTCTTGTTAACTGCCTCTACTCTATGTCAACCTCACTCCTATAGAAACGATTCCCAATCTTTACATTTCCTCCTTACCACTCTACGAACTCTGGAACTGTACCTTCTAATATCTCCATTTCCACTTGAAATTCTAATATAGCATCTGTTAATTAACACATATCCCTTATCATTTTCCTCCGTAATATTTCTGCTTCCTCTATTTCAATTATTTCAAATCCTACAGCTCTTCCTTTATCTCACTCATGTGTGGCAAAGCACCATATATATACTATTTTGTTTTTTTCACTTATTCACTTTTGTCTTTTTCACTTAATCACTTTTGTCTTTTTCATTTAGGATCCTTGAGGACAGAAGATACTGGCTTCTCTTACACTTATCTATATTCCCCCAATGCCAAACACATTATCACATGTACGAGACATCAAACAGCAGGAAGAGACAGGCAAGCAGTGAATGACAGTCCACAGACAAAGAGGCACCAATTGCATTATGGTAACACATAAAATACATTTCCATGGGAACCAGCAGAGTTACATGCACAATTTATGACAGCACATAAAGCAACTTAGTAAAAATATGGATCTTTGATACAGTGATTAAAGACTAAGGAAAAAGATTCCACATAATCAAAAGTAAATTCAGAGTTGAAAGAAAACTTTAGTTATTAGGTTTATTTCATGTTTAGATCACGAAATATTTTAATTGAATAATTATCATGCCTAAGCTTTGGTTATTTTTTAAACCTTTGATCCATTAGAAAAAAAAAAAAGAATGTTCTCCCAAGAATAAATACAATTAAGTAAAATACACTTAAGAATTACAAGTCATCTCATTTAAATGCCATTAAAATGCATATCAACAACAACAATGAAATCCCTTTCAAGATTTAACAAAGCACCATAGCTCTGAATTCAGTATAACTGGGAACAGGAAAACATAAAAAACTTTCATTTTAGTCATATCAAAGAATGAATGAAGCTTTCAATTATATTTTCCAAATAAAAGTTTTAGCTACTTTCACACAGATTTAATAATGGCAAAATTAAATGCCACTTCAAAAGGCCACAGTTTCCACAATTATGTTCTATTCTTCCAAACAGTCTAGTCTGGGCCTACCAGCCAGAACTGAGGAGTTAATATTCACCATGTGGCTCTAACTAATCCTATGGTACCTTACAGGATATGAAGTAGCCCCACTGATAAAGACCCCCATGACCCACCCAGAATCAGTTCAACTGGTATCTTCTCCCAGTCCACCCCACCTCAAAGACAATTCAAGCCTTTTACTCAATTTATAAAACCATTCATCCAGCAAGCCAAAGTAAATTTTTTTTAATTTTTTTTTTTTTTTTACCTCAACTGTGCATCTTCTGTTCAAATGGATTCCCCATGTTTTCCACAGTAATTACCTTTGGGGAAAGTCTGCTTTGGGTCAGGTTAATCATGCTGTGGGTAGACTCTTCAAATAAAAGTATGAATAGTGAGACAAATGCATACAGACACTTGCCTCTGAAGAGCTAAGAGCCTGGCCACTACCAATCTTTGTACTCACTATTCTGCCTTCTGTAGCTTCTCCAAGCAGCCCTCCAAAAGTGATTACAGGAGACATACAGGCACAGTATAGGAAAAGAATCGAGGCCAGGCACTGCAGGCTTAATGCATCCTTGAAGTCACTCAAGAAAAAAGGTGCTTTCCTTTTGATGTCAAGTATCAAACCACCAAAAAGCCTAAATAGGTGAGATGAAACTCGTCAAACTGTACACTAGTGGATTCTAGCTAGTTCAAACTAAAACTATGGGCTACACAAAACTGCTGTTGCCTAGGTGTTTTGTCAACAAAATGTTAAATCCAATTTAACTTACAATATAAATTACAGAAGATACACTCATTTAATCTAATCTACTGATGATAGAGGAATGTTATAGTTCATTAATAAGAGACAAATATCTGTATTTTATGGACTATATAATGAAAAGACTGCAGGCAAATGATTTTATATGAGTAAATGTAATTTTGGACACAAACGTGCAAGGCAAGGTATAACAACAAAACCTAACAACCCATTTATGAAAATGTGCATAAGCAATTCTATTAATTGTCTACATTAAAATCTTAAAGGCAACCATCACAAATACGAGGAAGGCAATTAGTATCCAAATACACTTTAATATAAATTTAGTATGTTGTGCTTAGATGCACAAGTAGTATGAACTCAATAACTTTAAAAACTGGTACTTCAATCATATAAATACTTTGTCTAGGGGGGAAAAATCCCTTAAAACCATTCCAGTATATGTAATTTACTGCACATGTAGACAAACTAATATGCACATCAATAAAACTAAGAGGTTTCAATTAGATTAAAAATTTGTGTGTACATCAAAGCCATACCATTTCAACATTTTTAACAATCAAATTTTTGGATACATCTGACTTGAAGACATTTCAATAAAATATAAGCTCCATGAAGGGAGACTTTTTCTTGTTCATTGCGTTATCTACAGTGTCTAGTACACTGCCTGAGACATAGTAGGCACTCAACAAACACTGGTGACTAAACTGGCAATTCGAAAAAGTTGTAATACTCGTAACATATATAATCATTCAAATCCCAACTGCAGGAAAAACTGACCAAAAGAAACTAACATTAAGATTTCAAATGCTTTGGATATTTCAAGCTTTACCACTGTAATTTTTTTTAAGTGAATACTGAAATAAATCCTCAACACAAATTGACAAGTGGTACTCTGCTCATAATCTGACAGCAAGGGGAATCAGCTCGCAATAAAAAAGGTTCCATCAATAAACTAAAGTATGAATCTATGGTGTATCATCAAATCAATGATTACTTAGTAGAGGGCATAAAGATGCTCTCAGGTGACTGAGATCAGTGGAGGCCAGACATAGTGCTTCTCAATTACTAAACCTATCCCAGTTTGAAGAAGCGATAAGAGCTAATAATAGAACAGTACTGTTCACACAGGGTCAAAATCTTTCCTCTATTATATTCACAGAGACTAATACACTTCATTAGTCAATGAATTGTTAATTTCAGCTTCTCTAAAGTCTACATGCAGTATGCCAGTTGTTATTTATTTTTATTATACAGTACCCTTTAAGGATGTCATCAAAATCCCTAATAGTGTATCTGTATAAGATATCCTGTTGTTTTTTTTTTTTTTTCAAAACAGATTTGATATTTAAGATTATTTAATTAGATACTGACCACCAGTGAACAATAATCAATAGCCACGTTTTTCTACAGTATGAAAATACTACAATATTTATCTACTTCTACAAAATATTTTAAGGCAATGTTTGCATCTGCCAATATTTCTATTTTTTATTACAAAAATTAACTCCTTAATTTTTCTAGCTAGGTTTCCAGAGATCAATACAACGGTTTAATCATGCTTGTCCATGAAATTTACATTACCTCATGATACAATGCTCATTTAAGAGTTTTAAATCTGTGCACATATACAAAGAAATCATTCGTTGTAATTACCCTCTGGTCCCATAATTCTCTAACTCAACATGGAGAATTATAAGACTCTACATCTTCTTCAAGAACCTACTGTATAAGTAATGGAAATTAACCTACACACTATATAACTACAATATTCTGAATATATGGTCCATTATTTTCCTTTTAAGCTAAAGCTTGGTACATACTGTTAAAATTATTTATACATCTTCTTATATGCTTATAAATTTTCCTTATATATAATAATGGAAATTTTTCTAGATATGAAAAAATACTGTACAAAATTAGGTTCCAAATATGTGGAAAAAACATAATATTTATGTTTTCATCAAATCATCCCCCAACCCCCTCAAAATATCAGTATTTGCACCCACCGTCCAGTCCTCTGTAGCTCAGGCCCAGCATGATGAGCGGCCTCTTTAGGAGTCTCACCCGATGTGGGGGCAGATCCATTGTGAAACACAGGAATCTTTCTCTTTTCCTGAATTTCACAAAAAACATATTTTCAGAATTCTATTTTAAGAAAATTTGAGATGGTATCTTCAATTAGAGTGAATATCAAATTTTATATTGATTATATATCTAATCAGTGTTCCTAGAAAATGCTTCCGAAAATAAACTTCCTTCTGTAATGCATTGCTCTTTAAAAAGAATCTAGTATCAGTTTCTATTAATATTTTAAACTTATAATTAGCTTTTTGCATCTTATAATCTAATTATCAATATACTATATAATACATTCATACATTCCATTTCAAATTCCTATTCAGAAATAGCTACAAACATAAGTAACCTCCAAAAAAGCATCTTCTCCCACCCAAACTTTAAAAATACTGCTCCTGCTAACTATTGAAAAATACACTTTACATTAAAAAAAAGTAAATGTCATTTTTCTTCCACTAAAGTACTTCCCTTAAAAAATAAGAGCTGTTTGATAAAACATGTTTCCACAAAAATCAATTTCCTATTACATTTTATTACAAATTCAAGAGTACTATTCACATGATACAGGATTTCTCTCCCTCTGTTGAAGACAAATAAATGAACTTTTAACTTGTTACATCAAGAGACTGCTGGGGCTAAATACATGTGTGTGCATGTGCACATACAAGGGAAAAGATGGAAGGAAAGATGGAAGAAAAGGAAACAGAGGTAGAGGGAAAGGGAGACAGATGTGTCATCCCAGGAGGTTTCCTGGGTCAAAGGCTCTGGCTAAGTTAAAGACTTACGCTACCTGGTTTACATGTTCCATATTTAGGGAGTGGCGAGGCTTATCTACAAATATAAGACTGCTATTTGAAAATGTCAAAATCTCATTTACAAAATTTCATTTTCAAACTCACATCTTAAAGGGGAAAGGGATTAAAATTTAGAACTCCCAGGAAACAAAAATAATTTTAAAAACTACATATTATAAAAGTAATTGTGGTTTTGGCCATTATTTTTAATTTAATTGATATAAAAATTAAACCTAATTTAACCCATGGGACCCAGCCAAAGCACATTCAAGAAAATTATTTTAAAAAAATGAAAGACGAAATAAAGTGAATTAAACAACTACCTCAGAAAACGTGAAAACAAAGTCTTTCCTGGAAGAAAGTGAAGGAAATGAAAAACAGCTAACAGCAGATACCAAGATCCAAAATAAAATGTGTCTTTTAAAAGTACTGAAATAAATTTTAAAGGCTGCTGTTTGAAAAATACCATAGACCTTTAGCTAATACAAAAAAAAAAAAAGACAGGCAATAATTTCACATAGCGAGCAAATTTTATATACATACTGCACTTTATATAACTCCATGCAAATAAATTAGAAACCTAGATGAAACTAGTAATATAGTGGGAAAACAATTTACCAAAACTGACCCCAGAAAAAACAGGAAGTTTACCTATACCAGTTTTCAAAGAAGAAATAAGCTAATTGTTGAAGTCTACCATATGACAGAAGATTCAAGTTCAAAAAAGTTTACAAAGAAATTATTCCAAACTTCTAAAATCAAATTATTCCACACCATTTAAACTGTTATATTAAGAACACAAACAAAAACTTACAAATTTTTTTATGAAACAAGTATATTTATGACACCAAAATGTGAAGATGGGTACAAAAATCTATAAACCCATCTACAGTAATACAAACTAGTAGACACAGAACACTACCACTTCAAAGTCCAAGCTGGGTCGACTCCAGGAATTCTTTCATGTCCAAAAATCTATTCATATGATTTAGCATAATAATTGATAAATAAAATTAATATCACTTGCCAGAGATGCTGAAAAGGCATTTGATAAAATTCTACATCAATAACTATTTAAAAATTCAATAAAAAACAAATAATGTTACTTCCTTTACACGATGAAATGTGTATTTTGGCTTCAATGTCATTATCTTAATGGGAGAAACACTAGACACATTTGACTACAGTCATAAACAAGTTAAGAAATGCCTATTTAAAGCCCACACTACCTGACACTGTACTAGAGATTTTAGTCAATACAACTAGACAGTAGAAAACAATTACATGTATAAGATTTGGAAAATGAGGAATAAAACTATGTCTTACTTACAGATTATATGACTAAAAATCTATTATAAACAATTAAGAATGGTAGCAGGATTAAAAATACACAGTTGAGACAGGATGTGGTGGCTCACACTTGTAATCCCAGCACTTTGTGAGGGCGAGGCAGGCAGATCACTCAAGGTCAGGAGTTCAAGACCAGCTTGGCCAACATGGTAAAACCCCATACCCACTAAAAATACAAAAATTAACTGGACATGGTGGCAGGCACCTGTAATCCCAGCTACTTGGGAGGCTGAGGCAGGAGAATAGCTTGAACTTGGGAGGCGGAGGCTGCAGTGAGTGGAGATCATGCCACTGCACTCCAGTCTGGGCGACAAAAGCGAAATTCTGTCTCAAAAAAAAATAATAAAATACACAGTTGACTCTTGAATAAACACGGGACCAACTCCCATGAAGTTGAAATTTTGTGTATAACTCCCTGAGACTCAATGTAGTAAGCCTACTGTTGACTAGAAAGCCTTACAGGTAACATGAACAGTTGAACACACAGGTGGCATGTTAGAGGTGTTATATGCCATATTTTTACAATAAAGTAAGCCAGAGGAAAAAAAATGTTATGAATGGAAATACATCATAATTTCTATTTCACTTTATTTCGCTTCTCTAAAAATGTTCTATACCAATCCCTGTTTGCTTAAGTACCCAAACCACAGAAGGATCCATGTCGCAAAAGAAGTCAAAAGCAATCCTGAATAATCAGAATCCTTCAACCAAATCAGCTGATGTCAATTTGTTTCCTGGGACTACTACTTCTATATCTTTTTTCTCATCACCGGCACTGGTTCGCAAGCGCTCATCTCCATCAAGTTGTGTTGTTACCTCCTCTAGTATGGTGTTTACTAGCTCTTGAGCTTCTCCAAGATCCACATCTTGAAACCCCTCCACCTTTTTTGCCATACACACAACTTCCTTGAGTAGCTCTGTCGTAAAACCAGTTGTTTCATGAACAGCATAGGTTTCTCCAAGAAGGAATTTATTGTTTCAGGCCTGATGACGTTCATGGCTTTTTCTATGATAATGATGGTGTGTCTTCAATAGTGTAATCCTTGCAGACTTTGATGATGTCCTTGCTATCCAAGGTTCTCTCCCACAGTATTAATAATCCTTTCTACATAGCATCTAATGTAATGAGCCTTAAAGGTCCTCATGTGTTTTGGGTGGCCAGGGGCATTGTCTAATATCAAGAACATTTTAAAAGGCAGTCCCTTCCTGGCAAGGTACTTCCTGACTTCAGGAACAATGCACTGATGGGACCAATCCAGATAAAGGGTTTTCATCCAGGCCTTCTTGTATAACCAAAAGACTGGCAGCTGGCATTTATCTTTTTCCTTCAAAGCTCAACATGAGCAGCTTTATAGAGGAGGGTAGTCAAGATCATAAATTGGACTGCATTTGCACAAAACAGAGTTAGCTAACCCTTCCTCCATTAAATCCTGGTGCTCACTTAAGTTCCTTACTAAAAAAAAAGTCTTCTGTAGCATTATTTCCAGAACAGAGTACTTTCATCTGCATTAAAAACCCATTCAGGGAATTTTCTTAATAGAGTCTGATCTGGGAATTAATCTGCTGCCTCTCAGATGGCAGAAGCTGTTTCTCCAGTTATTCTGACATTTTTTAAACCAAACTTCTTTCTAAAATTACCAAACCATCCTTCGCTGGCATTAAATTCTCCAGCTTTAGCTCTTTCACCTTCCTTTTCCTTCATGTTGTAAAATCACTGCTTTTTCTTCATCATATCAGAATCTATAGGTATGCCTTTCTTATAGTAATCCTGCACTCACATAAAAGCTGCATTTTCAATATGAGATAAAAAGGTGTTTTGCAAAAAGTGAAGGTTTTCATGCCTGCTGGCATAACTGCAGTGATGACTATACATTTCCTTTTCTTCTTACAATGAGTCTTATGCTGGATTCATTTATCTTGAAATGGCAGGCAATGGCAGACCTCATTCTATGGTACATACCAAGTAATTCAACTTTGTCTAACATTTGTATGACTTTTCTCTGTTTCTTAGGAACACTTCCTAGCATCACTAATGGGACCTCATATGAGTCCCACGCTGTTATTCAAAAGTTTACAGTATTGCACGAAACACGATGAAAAATATATGAGAACCGCATGATCACTTTTTAGGGTAATACACAATTTACTTGACAGACAAACTGCTGTGGATGTGGAGATGATAAGCAACACACACCATTTTAAGCATGTTAACTTGCAACCCTTGAGCTCACTGCAATAGCAACAGGCCATAACTATGAAATTACAATATGACAGCAGTACAGTATTTACTATAGTTAATTTTATGTATGTTGTAATGCTGCATCTTGACTTTCGTTTACATTTCTCTCCACTGAAAATAGTGCCATGTACACTCTTACTGTATATAAGGTTTGATAATTTTAGCTTTTTAGAATAATTTGTATATATTTCATAGTAATAAATTATTAAAGAAGACTAGTATATGCATATATTTTATGCATTCAGGAATGCCTAATTAATCTTAATTTTTTGATATTTCTAGGCTATGCAGTTTGTATGCAAGATTTTTCAAATTATCAAAAACCTTTCCAATGTTTATTAAAACAAATCCACATAATTAGAACTGTACAGTTCAAACTCATATTGTTCAAGGGTCAACTGTGTGTGTGTATGCATATATGCACACAAAAAATAAGAAATAGCCTTCATTTCATATAAAAGCAACAGGCAAACATACAATACTCATGAATACACCTACCAAGAAACATGTAAATTCTAAGTAAGGAAAACTTGACACATTCTTTAAGAATACAAAAACTTGCTTGAAACAAAAAATCAGCTGGGGAGAGACACTCATGTTCTTGAATAGACTCAATGTCGGCTGGGTGTGGTGGCTCACTCTTATAATCCCAGCACTTTGGGAGGCTGGGATGGCCAGATCACCTGAGGTCGGGAGTTTGAGACCAGCCTGACCAACATGGAGAAACCCCATCTCTACCAAAAATACAAAATTAGCCAGCCATGGTGGCGCATGCCTGTAATCCCAGCTACTCAGGAGGCTGAGGCAGGAGAATCACTTGAACCAGGGAGGCAGAGGTTGTGGTAAGCCAAGATTGCACCATTGCACTCCAGCCTGAACAACAAGAACAAAACTCCATCCCCCGCCCCCACAAAAAAGAAAAAGATTCAATGTCATGAAGCATCAATTCTCTCTCAGTTCAATGAGAAATTTGCCATCACTTTTTAAAAACCATTCCATTGTATTTCTGAATATAGAAAGCCAATTTTAAAGCCTACACAGAAAAATAGATCAGCAAAGACAGCCAAGAAAATTCAGAAAAACAAGAGTAAGAAAGAGAGCAAGAACAAGTCTAGACCTACCACACATTAAAATATACCAAAAAGCCTCAATAACTGGAGTGTGGAATTAGTCCGTGAATAGAGAGACCAAAGGAAAACAAAAGTCCAAAACAGGCCTGAATGCAAATGGAATTTTAGTTAATAAAGGCAGCATCACCAACCAAGGGGAGCAATGTTTAGCTCTGTAATGAACAGGGACAACCAGGCAGCAATTTAGAAAAAAGATGAAGTGGATCTATACCCACACAAAATACGCTATGATAACCTCCAAAGATCAATGAACAATTTAAATGTTAAAAAAAAAAAAAAAAAAAGACTGTAGTGGGGCAATGAACAAAAGATTATCAGGAATATTCGACCTCACTAATTATAGAAATGCAAATTAAAACCTCATTAAAAGGCCAGGAGCAATGGCTCACACCTGTAATCCTAGAACTTTGGGAGGCTGAAGCAAGAGGATCACTAGAGGCCAGGAGTTTGAGACCAACCTGGACAATAAAGTTAGACACCATATCTACACCGTATCTACAGAGTATCAAAATATTAGCTAGGGGTAGTAACATACACCTGTGGTCCAGGCTACACAGGAGGCTAAGGCAGGTGGTTTGCTTGAGCCCAGGAAACTGGGGCTGCAGTGAGCCAAGTTCACAACACTGCCCTCCAGGCTGAGTGACAGAGCAAGACCCTGTCTCATAAACACTAAATTTAAAACCTCATTCAAATACTTAAAATAGCAAGATAAAGATATCTATTAGACTGACAAATATCCAAAACTTTGGCAACACACAGTGTCAGTGAGGATGTAGGGAAATAGGCCCTTTCATACATCACTGTAGGAGTCCAAAACAGTCCAGCAAATGGAGAGAATTCTGGTAATATCTGCTAAACTTATAAATAAATTCCCCTTTGAGCCAGCAGTCTTATTACTGGGGATCTATTCTACAGATACATCTGCACAAGACTAAAATGACATGTGATTATTATCATGCATAATTTGAAATAGCAAAAGAATGACAACACCAGAACCCAGGAACAGAACAAACTATGGTATAGCGATACAGAACAAAACAAAGCTGTGAAAAAGAGAGTAGGGAATATTTTTATGATTTCTTGTGTCAGGTCTTCTAGATTTACATGAAAAAAGCAAGGTTCGGAACAGTATATGCAGTACATTAACTTTTGGTGAGAGAATCAAATAAGACTGCATGTTCATATTTTCAAGTACTGAATAAAAACTAAAAGGATAAAAAACTAGTAACACATAGTCACCTATAGGAGGTACATGTGGGGGTAAGAAAGTAAGGGGATGAGGTGGGGATACGACTTCTCTGTTTTGGTTTTCAAATCATAGCTACTCAAAAAAAATTAATTAAAATAAAGTAACTCACAGAAAAATAGCTCTAGATTCTTACCTGAGAAGGGACACTTTTTGGTGGCTCTATGCGTATAGAAGGATCCCACTCTCCTGGAGGTAGGACAGTTACTTGATCTAAAAATTCATCAATTCCAGATAAGAGGTCATTTCTGTCTTTTGCTTTATAAGCCACATCATGAAAAATCTAAGGGAAAAAAATATTGAGTAAAAAGATTTTAAAGTTGAAAAAAAAAATTCTACACATAGTAAATCCACTCTGGATATCATAAATATCTTCACAACAAAAATAATTACTTAAACTCTTATCCCAGACAGGTATTTAGCCCACCTTAGGTAACAACTATAAAAGGCAATCCACTCAGTATTACCAGACAAATTAACAAACAATGAAAGAGAACAGTTATGTGTTAAGACAGAACAATTTTTTTAAAATAAAATTTTGCATGGGAAATAACAATTGATTGGAAAATGAAACACTAGAGCATGTCATTCTACTTCTATGACACTTAAATGTCATTTATCCTAAAAAAAAAAAAAAGTCATGGATATGCAAACAACTTTACTTAATTTTTTTAATAACCAATACTTACTGGCTACCTACTAACTGCTAGAACACAATTCTAAGCATTGTGGATAATACAATGGTAACAGGTAAGGCAAGGTCCCTGTATTCAAGAACCTTTTTTTCTAGGAGGAAAGACAGTGAAACAAGTTATTAAATAAATAATCGTAGGTATTGATAAACTCTCTCCTAAAAACAAAGTAGGGTACAGAAAGGGAAACTGATGGGAAAGAACAGAGTAGCCAGAAGAGGTCTCTTAAAGGAGGTAACTTACCAGGTACGTTGGCTCAAGCCTGTAATCGCAGCATTTTGGGAGGCCGAGGCGGGTAGATCACCTGAGGTCAGGAGTTTGAGACCAGCCTGGCCAACATAGTGGAAGCTCATCTCTACCGAAACTACAAAATTAGCTAGGTGTGGTGGCACCGGCCTGTAATCCCAGCTACTCGGGAGGCTGAGGCAGGAAAATTGTGCCAGTACGTCCAGCTACTTTTTTGTATTTTTAGTAGAGACAGGGTTTCACCATGTTGGCCAGGCTGGTCTCAAACTCCCAACCTCAAGTGACCCACCCACCTTGGCCTTCCAAAATGCTGGGATTACAGGAGTGAGCCACTGCACCCAGTCAAGAGTTTAAATTTAAATCTCACTATATGATAGGAAGTCATTAATAACTTTGGACTATACACTCAAACTGGCATGTTACTAATAATGTAGAGAAAAAAACCATACAATAAAGACCCATAAAGGCTAATTGAATCAACAAATAAAAGCAAGGCTAAGCCAGAGAAATGGCAGTAGAGATAGAAAGAATATGACAGATTAAATGCAAAACACATTGACGAGGTAAACAGAATCTGGTGACTGGCTGGTTGAAAGTGGATAGAAAAATATGCTTGGCATGGTGGCTTACGTCTGTAATCCCAGCACTTTAGGAGGCCAAGGTGGGCAGATCACGAGGTCAGAGATGGAGACCCTCCTGGCCAACGTGGTAAAACCCTGTCTCTACTAAAAATACAAAAAAAAAAAAAAAAAAAAGCTGGGCATGGTGACGCACACCTGTGTAGTCCCAGCTACTCAGGACTGAGGCAAGAGAATCACTTGAACCCGGGAAGTAAAGGTTGAAGTGAGTCGAGATCGTGCCACTGCACTCCAGCCTGGCAACAAAGCAAGAATCTGTCTCAAAAAAAAAAAAAAGAAGAAGAAGAAGAAAGAAGAAAGAAGAAGAAGGAAGAAGGAAGAAAGAAGAAAGAAGAAAGAAGAAGAAGGAGAAGAAGGAAGAGGAGGGGGAGGAGAGGGGGGAGAGGAAGGAGGGGAAGGAGTGGGAGGAGGAGGAGGAGTGGGAGGAGGATGGAGAGGAGGAGGAAGAAGGAGAAAAGAAAAAGAAGAATGAGGTCAGGTTCAGATATGGGGCACTTGAAATATCTTTAGGACACACAGCATTGATATTTTTATATAGGTCTTAACAACCTAACCAAAGGTAAATCGCTGAAGAGTAAATAAATATGAGATAAAACAGTATGCACAACAAGGATAATTTTTAAAGCTTCACTATGAAAGAAAAGAGAACTATAATATATACTATAGGCTTCATAATCAGTGTCTACTTCAAAGAGACTTGAGGTATTTTGATTACCTCGTCTGTCATGAGAGTGGCTATCGATCTTCCAATTTCATGGTACTGTGGCGCCTTGCCTGCTGGACCCAATAACAGAAACAAAAACCTAAGGAAACATGAAAATACACAGATTTTAAAATAAACATCATATACCCACAAATCTAGGCAACCATAAAAAAGAAAACCTTCAAATACAAACAGAGAAACAACACTCAGACGTCTTTTCCAGTCCCCCACACCAATCACTGAAAAAGGATGGCAATTCCACCCAGACTAAAGGAAACCACAAAACTAGAAAAAGCATCCATAATAACTTTCTACCAAATTATTGTTGCACATCTTCCTTAAGGTAAAACGGTAATTAAAAATTAAGCATTTTTTATTAAAAGTTGCCAGCTTCTATTTCCTTTTAGAGTAAACAAAGCTGGTCTGCCTTGATCAAAAAAAGTAAATTAGTAAATAAAGTGAGTAACAATCCCATTAATTATTTGAAAGTAAGGTTTGCCAAATAAGACAGTTGAGTATACCCCTAAAATCTACACAATTCCCCAAATTACAGCTCTGGATTAAAAACTCTAATGTTATAAACAAGGAATTTTAGTCACCTAGTCCCCTTTGGAAGGAAAAAGAACTTTTATGTACAACCCCATTTTTTTCTTGTGTTATAAATAAGGAATTTTAGTCAACTAGTTTCCTTTGGAAGGAAAAAGAACTTCTGTTTACAATTCCATTTTTTTTTCTTTTGTAAGACGGAATCTCACTCTGTTGCCCAGACTGGAGTGCAGTGGCACGATCTCAGCTCACTGCAACCTCTGCCTTCCAGGTTTCAAGCTATTCTTCCGGCACACAGCCTCCTGAGTAGCTGGGACCACAGGCGCATGCCACCATGCCCAGATAATTTTTGTATTTTTGGTAGAGATGGATTTCACCATATTGGCCATGATGGACTTGAACTCCTGACCTCGTGATCTGCCCGCCTCAGCCTCCCAAAGTGCTGGGATTATAGGTGTGAGCCACCGCGCCTGGCCTACTACTCCAAATTTTAACATTAAACCTCATATTATGCTAGTGACTACATAAAAAGTATTTAACTTCCTACTTGGTTAATCCTAGTTAACACTACGGTAAATTCTTAATATTCACACTTACCTAAACTGGAAATAGTTATCCCACTTCTCTATCAGCATTTACATGTGAATCCATGGGCTTATCTGTCTCATACATCTTAACACTGCATCATTAATGCAATCAACCGAGTAAAGCAAACAGGTAAGTACATTTCCATTAATCTCCTACTAATTCTTCATATTTGATTATATTATAAAATAATTGGAAAAAAATCTTAAAAAGTCTTATTTACAATGAAATTTCTATCATTAATAGCCAACAAAATGATCACCCTTTAAAATACAACTTGTTAATTATTATTATGGCCATTACCCCCAATTTAATTTTTACTTATGATGTATACTGAACAGAAAAATTTGGTTATGCTAGAACAAAGCACCTTGCCTAATTCGAAGGCCTTATTACAGTTACTCAACCTTGTAAGAGATCACCCTCATTTTACAAATGAAACAGAAAATTTAAGTCAGGCTTGACCCCGCTTCCATGAAGAAAGTAAGTGGCAGAGAAAAGCTGCAACTCCATTATCTGACTCCACTGCTTGCACCAAACTTTAGATAAATCCTCTAAGATGATAAACTGCTTTTTTTTTAAACCAAAGCTTGTAAGATACCAAGCTGTAATGAAGGTACAAATGCAAAGTATTACTTTTCTTCATTAATTAAATTATACTTAATTTAAATTCTAGGATACTTTATTTTTATTGTACTTTTTAGTTCCAAGAAGAAAACTATTTTATGCCCTAATATTCGAAGGCTTTGGTACAATGGCTGAATATTAACTATTAAAAATGAGCTTTTGGTGGGCCACCAGTGGCTCACACCTATAATCTCAGCACTTTGGGAGGCCAAGGCATATGGATCACTTGGGACTAGGAGGTCAAGACCAGCTGGGACAACATGGTGAAACACCACATCTACTAAAAATACAAAAATTAGCTGGCTGTGGTGCTGCACACCTGTGATCCAGGCTAATAGGGAAGCTGAGGCAGAAGAATCGCCTGAACCCAGGAGGTAGAGGCTGCAGTGAGCTGAAATTGTGCCACTGCACTCCAGCCTGGATGACAAAGTGAGATTCTGTCTCAAAAATAAGATAAAATTAAATGAGCTTTTATTACATAAATCAACATGTTTGTTTGTTCACTAGATAAAAGCTTATAGATTTTGAAAATGCTTAGAGAATGTTACTTGGAACTAACTCTTTACCTGGTTGGAACAGGGACCTCAGTCAATCCTGTGAGGAGGACAGCAGGAGCCAGTCTCACAAATGCAATTATAGGCCTTTCCAAAAAGTCTACTTCGCCCACCAGGACGTTGGATGCCTCAGCACCCGAAGGAATTTTTCTCATAAAATTCATGTCAACCTATTGACAAATAAATAATAATTAGAAATAAAGTTTCCATGGTATTTGTAAGACTATTTAGAGGCAAACAGGAAAGAAAAACTGCTTTATAAGACTACTATTTACTAATCAAAACTTGTGATCTAATGAATGTATGAAATGTCAAAATTTTCACAACTATAAAGAACGGAGTACACAAATACAAAAAAGCAAGCAAACATTTTAATCAATGCTATTGTTTTAACTGTCACAATCTTTACTACTTCAGAGATCTAAATTATCAAACACGAACTTGAGAAATTTTTCAATGAATACTGCACTATTCATTAAAAACTATTAAGGACAAATATATAGTTCACAAACTAATAATGGTTCATGAAATTATACACAGTGCTAAAAAATATTCATGATTTTGTATTACTTAACCTTAGAAATAAATGAATTGGCCCCTTTACATTTTATGTAAAGTCCCCCTTAAAACAAACAAACCAAAAAAGAACTCTGGGCACTCCCCAGTATTTTCATTAAGTGGAAAAAAATCATTATTTCATCAGTAGTATTTTTGAGACATGGTCTCACTCTATTGCCCAGGCTGGAATGCAGTGGCAGGAACATAGCTCACTGTAAACCTCAAACTCCTGGACTTAAGCAATCCTCGCACCTTGGCCTCCCAAGTAGCTGAGACTACAGGCATGCGCCACCATGTCCGGCTAATTTTCGTTGTTTTTTTTTTTTTTTTTTTGAGGTGGGGGTCTTGCTTTATTGCCCAGGCTGGTCTTGAACTCGTGGCCAAGTGATTTTCTTGCCTCAGCCTCCCAAAATAGGGATTACAGGCATGAGCTACTGCACCTGGGCCCTTGTTTTTATTTAAAACTAAAATCTACAGCCCTTATTGGCACAGATATATGATAATGCTATAATAGTAAAATTTAGTGTTCTGTGTATAATTACAAGGGAAAGGTTACACATGATATCAAATTATGTGAACTTCATTTATACGCAGTTTCACACAAGTCACTAGACAACCACTTACAGGGCTATCTATGAAAAATAAAACCAGCACTTACAGCGGGCCTCTTGAGTCCCACACCCAGTGTGCCACAACTACAGTGCCAGGAGGCAGACTCCTGCCCAACAGGAGACAAGGAGGTATACACAAAGATAGGCCAAGTAAAAAAAAAGTAAGACTGTGACAGAGGAACAAAAATAAATGGCAACTGCCATGTCTAGAGGAGCTCTATAATGTACATTACATTAATTTATTCATTTAACAAGAAATAAATTGCAATTTTGTTACCGAGTACTTTGCAGTATCTAAAATAGCATGAGCACCAGTAAAATGCAATCAACATAGATGCTAAAAATTTAAAATACAACAGCCTTTCTGCCTAGCCAGTGTCCATAACGCAAGGCTTCCTATAGTTTTAAACTACAACACTCAACGAAGCTATAATGCAAACCATTTAAAATCCTTTTCTGTAAAATGTTCAAATAAAAGGCTTAAGAAATAAAAGTCTGCTTGACATGATTACATTTATTAAAAAGCCTAACAATGGATACAAAAATATTAAAATACCATGAGTATCATCCTATAGCAAATTAATACTACTAAAAAATTACAGTGGCTAATCAGTTTTCCATAAGAAATTCTCATAAAGTACACTTTAAACTTAGTTATAATTTGAACTCAGCAGTCTTTTGCCCTCTTCTTTTTAATTAAGGTTCATCTATTTCAACAAAATACTCATTTACCAAAATAAAAAGAATCATAGCTCACATAGGTGTTTTTCTTTTTTTCAAATCCATGCCTTTACCTACCCATGGGGAAGCACCAATATATTTCTTAGTGGCATTCCAAATGTACTGACACCGTAAGACAGTAATTCTGGGATCGCATTACAGCGCAGGAAAGACTGAATCACTAGTGTTGTAACATCACTCCCAGAATTAACCTTCTAGTGGTGGTAGCTCCAGAACAAATGACTCCTGTATAGTTCAAAAAGTCCTGACGTTTCAAGGTATCTATGGGTAGGTATAGATGGAAATATTGTAGTATTCACATATTCTTTTTCAGAATTTCTAAAACCAGTAATGGTGTAAAGTTGTTCAAGTACTCACAGGTTAAATGCACCCTTCTCACAGTTGTTTGCCTAAATTAACATATCACAGGCATCACATGCAGGTTTGTAAGCACCAGTCCACTAAAAAATTACTATAATCAATGCCACAAATTGCTACCTTTTTCTCAAGAATAATTAGGAGAATTTATAATTAATGACAGGATTACCTTGCTGAAGTCAACAGTGCTATTTTCTCTGCTTCCACCACTTCCATTACCTTTAATTTCTCCACTTTTACTATTGTCCAAGTTTCCAGGGGCAGACTGGGGAGAGGCCAAAATACCTATATTCAAAGACAAATTCCAAATCAGTAAGGAGAAAATTCACTTTGCAACCTGACTCTGCTCACATTCTGAAAGTGATAATTTATTAATATTATAAAAGCAAATGTGCAAGGTTAAAAAAAAAAAGGTGCCCAGTGTTAGTAACATACAAGCAAAACTAGAACATTTTAAGCAATAATAAAGCTATACATTTTAATATTTAAAATAATACAATTAGAATTTACAAAAATGGTGGCCTTTTGCAAAAAGAAAAAAAAAAAAAAGAATGTGAATTGGTGTGAACCACAAAAGATGGAAGACCTGAGTCTGATTATCATTAAAAATACTTAGGGAATGTACTTTTAATATATCACAAACATGTGAAGTGCATAGAGCTTAATGAAGCCTAGTTATACTTAGCAAGCTTTCAACAATAAATTCTCTGATAAACCCTAAGTGTAACTCAGAAGAAAGCTACACTAACTAAATGGAGGTTGAATTAACATAATCTCCCAAAATTTTCATTTTTGTTTGGTAACATTTATGTCTATAATACCTATTGTCATTATTTCTAAAAAATCCAACTTTAAAATGCCTATTATATTAGTAACTGGCAAACAGTAAGGATTTTATAACAAAAGGGATCTGTGTTTAAATTATGTGCTCTGCCACTTTGTATCTATGTGACTATAAGAAACTCACTCCATCTCTAAGAGTCTGACAAATCCATAAAATATAGCTTATTTGGAGAAATGATAGTCATTTGTATTGTGATAGATACATGTTGAAGCATTAGTATATTCATTTTAAAAGTGACATGCAACACCAACATTTCACAATAATAAATTAAATAAAAACACTGCTTAATATAAGACTAATCCGCTGGTTGCAGGGGCTCACGCCTATAATCCCAGCACTTTGGGGGGCCAAGGCGGGCAGATCACAAGGTCAGGAGATCAAGACCATCCTGGCTAACACACTGAAACCCCATCTCTACTAAAAATACCAAAAATTGGCCAGGCATGGTGGTGGGCGCCTGTAATCCCAGCTACTCAGGAGGCTGAGGCAGGAGAAGTGCTCGAACACAGGCGGTGGGGATTGCAGTGAGCCGAGATTGGGCAACTGCACTCCAGCCTGGGTTACAGAGTAAGACTTTGTCTCAAAAAAAATTCAAATCTCAAAAATTTTAAATTCGGCTGGGTACAGTGGCTCACGCCTGTGATCTCTGATCCCAGCACTTTGGGAGGCCAAGGTGAGTGGTTCGCCTGAGGTCAGGAGTTCAAGACCAGCCTGAAAAACATGGTAAAACCCCGTCTCTACTAAAATATAAAATTAGCCAGGCATGGTGGCATGTGCCTGTACTCCCAGCTACTCGGGAGGCTAAGGCAGGAGAATTGCTTAAACCCAGGAAGCAGAGGTTGCAGTGAGCTGAAATCGCAATTTATTTTGCACCAACCTAACACTAAATGCATCTCATTTTTTTTTTCCAAAACATCAGAGGTTTTCTAGTCCAAGAATACAGACTAGTAAAACACTGAATATTAGAGGGGGAAAGGTACTGAAATACAAAAGACTTTAACTTTAGTTTTAACAGTCCTATGCACAGGAACACATGGAAGTTCAATTAAAATCTGTTTTGTGGTTAGATTCTATAAGTTCTGAAGTTGCATTGGTAATCAAGTTCCAGAATGTAAAGTACTTATATCCTGGAAACATCTAAAGGAGTTTTCACTTTTGTAAAACAGAATATACTGTAACAATGAATACTGAAACTAACTCATCTGGATTTATGGCATATGCTTAATAACAGAGACTGCTGTCATCGTCGCTTCTCTGTAAATACCTAAACTACAATGTCAATGTGATAAAAAAATCTTAATTTGCAACTATTTAGCCATGTGCTCATTTTCTGGAAAAGTTAAACAATTCCGAAATAAAAACGATTTCCCAAGTCTTAATTCATTTCTTAAAATGTCAGCTTAGCACACCAAGAAGATTCCTCGTCTTTGACCTTTGTCCCTAAACTTCCAGAAGAGTACCTTCCTTGCCCAAGAGAGAAAAAAAGTTAACCAGTATTTTTCAGTGACTTCCAACTACTTCCACACAAGAAAATCAAGAACACCATTGGGACCTGGTGGCAAATGCAGATGAGCATTACATACTTCCAAAGGCTAAATGTATTCTACCTGTGCATGTATAATCAAAAGCATACATAACGCACTGTTTACCAGAATAGTCCTAGCTGCCAGATTTGAGGGAGAAAAGTGGAATGATGAGAAGGCTTTGAGGAAAAGTAAGGATATGGCAGCAATGAGAAGAAACAACAAAGAACTCAACATTGACAAAGCTAGCAGGTATGACCTGAAGTCACATGGCTAACCTGGTTATCTTGAAAACCTGTCAATTTTTCAAAACTGGCACGTAGATGCATGCTACAGTTCTGCATCATTACGACTGGTGTAGTCTTTCCCAACCTCAGCTAAACTGTTTTCTCAATCAGTAAAGACTCCCTGCTCCTATAATAAATTCCTAGCATTCAGAATTAAATGAGCAAATCACCAAAAAAATAAAGTTCTCTATCATTAGCACAAACACAGAAGGACTATATTGCTTTAAGGAAAAAAAAAAAAAAAAAAAGCAAACCAAAGATGTCAGAGTTTTCAGTCATTAAAAATTTGAAAGTGAAGTAGACAGAACAATGGCGCCCAACCAGGAAAGATTATGGCCCCCCAAGGGACTTGTGGCAATATCTGGAGACATATTTGGTTATCACAACTCAGGGGTGCTACAGGCGGCTAGCCAAGAATACTGTTAAACATCCTATAAAGCACAGGACTGCTGTGCCACCACCCACTCACCCAGCCAAGAACCATCCAGACAAAAATGTCAACAGTGCCAAGACTAAGAAGCACTGGGTTAGAAAAAGGTATTTACAAGTGCTAAAAATAAGTTCACTTCTTTTTTTTTCTTTCCCTAGAGATGAGGGTCTCACTATGTTGCCCAGGCTGGTCTTGAACTCCTGGCCTCAAGTGATCCTCCACTCTTGGCCTTCTAAAGTGCTGAAATCACAGGCATGAGCTATCACGCCCAGCCACAAGTTCACCTTTTATACATATAATTATCGTGTAAAAAGTAACTAATGGGAAATACCACTTTTTTATTATACGTATGCACAAATCATGACTACATGACACAAAAATCCACGGTGTTAGTTGCTTGAGACATAATGATGCTGAGGCCACTTTCTTCCACTAAGACAGTACCAGGCATCAAGGAAACTCCATTAGAGTTTCTATATGCTTTAAGCACCAAAGGTAATTGAACAGGGAATAATGTATAGCTGTTCCTATTATTTTTCCTCAGCAATTACATATTATTTATAGATGTCTTTTTAACCAGTCATTCTTGTATTTAGAAATTCCCTCTGTCCTCTCCATTCTAATTTCGTCTATTCAGAAAGGCTGATATGCCTCACCACAGAAAACTCAAGGGGAAAAAAAATGTATGTTCAATCATCAGTTAATTTATGCCCTTAATACAACCTAAGAAGCCAATGTGAACTCACCTCCCCCTTCCTTCCTATATAAAATTTATAGTTCCTAATTATTTATAACATAGAAGCTGGTAAAACAAGAAGTGTGCAGTGTTACTGATCAATGTAATATGGGGGAAAAAAAATGGAAGGAAGTAGCTTTTAAAATCACTTTTATTCAAGGAAAAATAGTAAATCTTGTTAGTTCTTAACATTAGAATGCTGATTACTTCTGAATAATTATTTCTAGGGTTGTTTTCCTCTTTTATGTTCAGTTGCCTCATCATTAAGCTTTACCTTTTTCATGAACTGATAAAGTTCACAATGAAATACTCTACTATAGGTTTTGTTGTAAGTGGACCTGAGTTCAAATCCCTGCTTTGGATATCTTAACATCTCCAAGTCTTTCTTCACTGAAAAACAGGAATAACACCAACCTCATCAAATTGGTACAAGAATTAGAAATGTGATATTTGAAAAGCACTTAATGGCAGCCATACTACTACTATAACTAATGTTATAATGATTTAGCCGTGAAACTTCCATTTGTACTTCCAAAAGTATATCCTTTTTTGCGACTACAGTGAGCTTTGGTTACATGTAATTGGTGTGTTTCCATAAAGCCAATAGAGAGAGAGGTTTATCTCACAATTATAGAAACACAAGGATTTCCAGTCACAGGATTCAGGCCATCAATTGCTAGTTATATGATGCAGGGAAAGATAACTAATTTTTCTAAGTTTCTGAAAATGGGTGTGTCCCTCTAACTTACACATATTTGTATACACATTAAATAGGCTAATTTAATAACCAAGCTACCACTCAAGTGGTAGATACTATCAATATTTTGGAGAATGTGATAATGCTTATGTGATTAAAACAAATAGCATTAGTATCTCACATTGAGGCTTAGCTGAAATAGTAAAAAAGTCACTAAAATACACTTATTTTATATTAATTAGGTAGAAAGATGTGTACAAATGTACATATAATCAATATATAAGGATAAGCTAAATTATCATATTTTATAGCCTTTAAGATGAGTTGTAAACCATTATCCATTAAGAAACAATAATTTTGGTCAGTCACGGTGGCTCATGCTTGTAATCCCAGCACTTTGGGAGGCCTATGTGGATGGATCATGAGGTCAGGAGTTCAAGACCAGCCTGGCCAACACAATGAAACCCCGCCTCTACTAAAAATACAAAAAATTAACTGGATGTGGTGGCCGGCACCTATAATCACAGTTACTCAGGAGGTTGAGACAGGAGAATCACTTAAACCCAGGAGAAGGAGGTTGCAGTGAGCTGAGATCATGTCACTGCATTCCAACCTGGGCAACAGAGCGAGACTCCATCTCAAAAAAAAAAAAAAAATCTAATTTGCATATAAAATATACTTTATCTGTAACTATAAGAACTCTGGTCCTGAAAATTTCAAGGTAAATTTGGGTTAAAGATAGATAATGGCATAAACAATGGACAACCTCAGTCTATTCCAAAATATAAATACTAGTCTAGAAATAATGATTCAAGGCAGTCAGTCATTAGAGAACTTCAATCTTCTCAGAGGCAAAAGGAGAAAAAGAACACTGAATCTTATCTTCATTAAAAAGGTGAAAACATGGCCAGACATGGTGGCTCATGCCTGTAATCCCAGCACTTTGGGAGGCCGAGGCAGGTGGATCATCTGAAGTCAGGAGTGCGAGACCAGCCTGGCCAAGATGGTGAAACTTCGTCTCTACTAAAAATATAAAAATTAGCCAAGTGGTGGTGGCACATGCCTATAATCTCAGCTACTTGAGAGGATGAGGCAGGAGAATCACTTGAACCCCAGAGGCGGACATTACAGTGATCCGACATTGCGCCACTGCACTCCAGTCTGGGCAACAGAGTGAGACCCTGTCCATGCCACCCCCTGCCCCTCAAAAAAGGCTAAAATGTATAACATTCTTTGGAGAAAATCAAATAGAAAAAAAAGGCATGGCTGGGCCTGGTGACACACACCTGTAATCTCAGCATTTTGGAAGGCTAAGGCAGGAGGATTGCTTGAGGCCAGGAGTTTAAGACCAGCCTGGACAACACAGCAATATCCTATCTCTACAAAAAAATTAGCCAGATATTGTGGCATGTGCCTGTAGTCTTAGCTACTCAGAACACTGAGGCAGGAGGATTGCTTGAGCCCAGGAGTTCAAGGCTGCAGTGAGTTATTATTGTGGCACTGGAACTGCACTCCAGCCTGGGTAACAGAGCATAACCCTATCTCTATTTAAGGCACATCACTTCATTGTAATTTATTTATATGTGTTCACTCACCTTATGAGTGAACTGCATACACACACACACACACACACACTCTCTCTCTCTCTCTCACACACACACACACACACACACACACAACCAAGGCGGAACACAGTGGCTCACACCTGTAATCCCAGCACTTTCGGAGGCCAAGGTGGGTGGATCACCTGAGCCCAGAAGTTCAAGACTTGCCTGAGCAACATGGTGAGACCTGGTATCTACAAAAACATAAAAATTAGCCAGGCATGGTGACATGTCCCTGAAGTCCCAGGTAATCGGAAGGCTGAGGCAGGAAGATTGCTTGAGTCCAGGAGGTGGAGGTTGCAGTGAGCTGAGATCACACCAGCCTGGGTGACAGAGCAGGATCCCATCTCCAGGGAAAAAAAAAAAAAATTACCAATCTAAAAAAAGTTCACCCAGCCTGGCCAACATGGTAAAAACCTGTCTCTACAAAAAAATACAAAAATTAGTCAGGTGTGGTAGCTCATGCCCGTAGTCCCAGCTACTCGGGAAGCTGAGGCACGAGAATCGCTTCAGCCCAGGAGGCAGAGGTCGCAGTGAGCTGAGATCACGCCACTGTACTCTAGCCTGGGCAACAAAGTGAGACTTGGTCTAAAAAAATAAATACATAAATAAATATAAAATAAGTTCATGGCAAATTAAAACATAAATGTCTACGTTTTACTAAAGTGTTCGAATGCCTTGACCTCTAAATCTAAGTGAAACTTTTTAAAAGGACTTAAATTTTGTGCAGTTTTCTTTGTAGTCTTTTTGTAACTCAGTTTTTAATAATCTTACTCTTTTTTACTAGGTTGGTACAAAAGTAATTGCGGTTTTTGCCATTGAAAGTAAAGCAAACTTTCAATGGCAAAAACCGCAATTACTTTTGCACCAACCCAATACAATATACCATAAAGAAAAAAAACATGCAGAAGTCAAAATAAACGATAAGCATCATCTACATATGCTGCTTAAGCTATGTGCTAAAAGGCATTCCAAGTGCAAGTGACTCAGAGGCAGAAAGCACCACACATGGAGGATTTTGGATAGTTGCCTGGAGTTAAGTCAACATTTTCCTCATTCTTCTGTTCCTGGCCTTTCAGCGCTTCTAAGTCTTCCTCAGGCGGATGGATTACTACTGTGGGAATATCATCACTGGCAGGTGAAACCAGTAGTTCTGGGGCCTGAAGCTGACTGTGTTGGGAACTTCTGGAGGTCAGGCGGCTGATGCTAGGGCTAGAAGGAGGACTGTTTTGAGGGGTGGGTACTGGGGTTGTACACCTTGAGCCTGCAGGGGTTCCAGCTCTTGAAGAAGGAAGAAGATGACCGAGAAGAAGAGATAAAGGCGATTCTCCTCTCAGTGAAAGGTTTGAGGCAGACAGACCTGTTCGCAAAGAGTGGCGGGAGGCTGAAAGGCCTTCCCCTGAGATAAAACAAATAAATGAAAAATGATGAAGTTCGCTGCAGAAGGCAAATAGAGACATTTAAAAAAAATCAATTTACACTATAAATTATACACTTTAAAGGCCCAAAATTTCAAAGTCATGCTATGATGGTTAGCATGTCAATCAAGTTTTTACATGTTAGAAAGTTAATAAAAAGTAGCCTAAAACTGTAATTAGTTCTCAGACCATATAAACAACAACAACAAAAAACTGTTAATGACAAATGGTGGGGGCAATGTCCTGTTAGACATTAGAATGGCCAATAGCATGGCATTTTTCAAAAGGACAATATCAATACAAAGTCACTGTTTAAACAATGAATAGCAAATGAAAATATAAAGTAAGAAGTAAACCAAAAATAACCAAAACTAATAGCTTATAGTGTATTTTACCTATATTTTACCATACAGCTACAGATAATTATCTCTTACAGAAAAGTCCATGTTAACTTTACCTAATAATTTCTAACTTAAAACTGATATTGGCCAGGCGTGGAGGCTTACGCCTGTAATCCCAACACTTTGGGAGGCCAAGGTGGGTGGATCACAAGGTCAGGAGATCGAGGCCATCCTGGCTAACACAGTGAAACCCTGTCTCTACTAAAAATACAAAAAATTAGCCGGGCGTGGTGGTGGGCACCGATAATCCCAGCTACTCAGGAGGCTGAGGCAGAAGAATTGCTTGAATCCAGGAGGCGGAGGTTGCAGTGAGCTGATATCATGACACTGCACTCCAGCCTGGTGACAGAGTGAGACTCTGTCTCAAAAAAAAAAAAAAAAACACACCTATGTGACGTATTTATAATATTAAGTCAGTAAGACACCATCTACAGGTGGTGCTGCTCTCAAGTTAAAAAAAAAAAGGTGCAAATTACATAATTTTTTATAAAAGATAAACACAATGTCAATTTTAAAGAAATAAGGTATTCTTGAGCTCTCTAAAAATATTAAGAAATGTCCTAAAGTATGCTTCTCACTTCTAATACACAGCAGATACATTAAAACAAATACATATAATTTTTTATTTATCTAGCTAAGAATAAAGTACTTCTCACCACCAACAGCAATATGGTAGTAGGTCTAGAATATTTCAAAAGGTCATGCATACTTATAATTAAATCCCTCATATTTCTATTAAGCATATCGTTAAAAAAAATAGCATTCTATATGAAAAACATGCAAATACAATAATCAATTCCATATGGCCTAAGTAATCAAAGTTACATGCTCAAGAGGTTTCAGAAATATTAAAAAATAAAGATTAAACTACAATCCATTAGAAAAGACTGTTTAAACAATAAGCTACATGCAGGAAAAACTCAAATTATAACTATATTTCAACAAAAGGACATGCTAAAATGGCATTTAAAAGAAAACACCCATCGTCTTATGATGACCAAATTACAAATGGACAATAATCAGGAATTACTGCATATGAAGAATAAAGATTGAATAGGGTCCCTCTGGATAAATGAACTCACTTCACCAACGGAGAGAATATACAACAAATAAAGATAAAAAAGAGAGTTAAAATGTGTCATACATGGCTTGCTTTTACATTGAACTTTGGTCCGTAAGAGATATTCTTTTACTCTTAAGATTGCTTCAATACACTATGGCATAATTTTAAACGGATTAAAAAGGGTTTTCATGGACAAGTGGAAGATAGAAAAGATAACTGTCAACTTTGGATATATGAGACCCTATCATCTATGCCTGTTTGTTCGTAGAACACTTAAAAGTCATATTATTATTTCAGGGATAAAAAAGGTGAGCAGACACTGTGTCCCACACTCCACTAATCCTGTCTGTAATCCTCACAAGTTTTGGGTAATAGTGGCAGCTTACACCAACTGCTGGAGGTTATAGTGACTCTCCCTCCATAAGCCACTCCAATACTTTGCATCTGGATTTTCCAGACTCACTGTCATCAGAGTTCTCAACTCTACTGATGTATTCCTCTGCCTTACACAGAAGAAAATAAGGCAAGGCAAAATCTCCAAGTGTGCTGGCGTTAAGACACTTAACAGAGGTCAACGACTGCAAAAACACTGTCTTCCCATATCCCATGCAACCTGCCTGTAATCTGAGAATGAGAGTGGAAAGGCACGATATGTAGACCTGGGTCTGAGCCATTCTCAATGGATTAGAAAACTGCAACTAGCCTTACACCCTTAGCGTAAGGCTGGAGCAGTCATAAAAGCCTTTCACAAGTTGTAATAACAAGAGGTCATGAAATCAACCAACCCAAAAACACTTGCTTATACCAGCATATCAAGTACATTCAGGAGAAAAAAAAATTTTTTAATCGAAAATAAAGGTTCAACCCCAAGATCTAGAATTTCAAAAAGGTAATAACTAAAATTATAGATAATTTATGCCTCTTTAATTAATTATACAAGAGGCCTTGAAAAGAAACAAAGCAGGAAGGAGAAGTAATTCAGGGGTAGGTATAGTGAGGGTTTAAATATCCCTAAATGTTAATCGTAACATACTGGAAAGCTATTACAGCAGAAATGTTAGCAAAACTTGGATGCCACAACTTATCTCACCATTCCTTTCAAGCAAGTGAGGGTCAGAATGTTTCTTGCCTATATCTGCAAAAGATCGAACAAGGGGAATCCGACTGGTGAATCTTTTCTCATTCTGATGATGATGTCTCTTCAGAAGAGCTTCTCTGACATTCTCTCGTATGGACTCGTCCAATTGGCCAGAGGCTATCATGTTGTCTAATACCATATCTATTCAAAGAAAAAAATAAGTTACTAAAGACTCAGATGACCATAATATAGGAATAAACAAACTGTGAGTGAAACCTTATGACAAAAATTAGAACCTTAAATAGCTATAGAAAGTTTTATTGTCACTATTAAATAATCAATGCCTAAAGATAAACATGAACATTATCCATCCAATAAAATCAATTACAGAGACCCCCTTATTTTAATAAATACCATTATTTACAAAGAGGCTATTATCATACACTAATAGCCTTCCTATAGCTGAAAGTGCTTTCCTATATGAGTACAATAAGTTCTATCAAGCTGAATATTCAATACTGGCTTCCTAAGATGTAAAGGTATTTTATTGCCAAACCTCGTGTTCTCCCCCGATATTCAGCAGATGAATATCGGGACCCACTCAGCCATTAATTGTTCACTGAATGTCTGCTGTGTGTTGGGAATACAGCAGTTTAACAACAACAAAACAGAGCCAAGTTTTTGCTCTCTTCAAGACGTAGAGAAACAGACACATAAATAGATGAACTATCATGAGGCCATAAGTTCTAGGAAGAGGAGTAAAATCAGGTTGTGAAGGGGATGTGGGGTATGGGAAAACTGATGGTAATGCCATTTTATACATTACTGAGGTGTTTAAACAATGTTTAATTTATAAAATATATATTAATATTTTTAAACAGTGACACTAACCTGGAAGAGGGTCAAATTTCCAAAACCATATGGTTAGTCTAAAAAAAACAAAGCCCCGGAAGGACCAGCCTAACAGGTAAACTGTAACATTAACACAACAACTATAGTTTACCAAACAAATGAACACTAGGTTATACAACGTCTACTAAAAGTACTAAATGGTGTTATGTGATCATTGCAAACCAAAGTCTGAAACCCATATGTATTATACAAATTCAACACTCCCAACCTTAACTTAATTTTTCAGTTATTCATGTAAGGCAAGAAAGTAAGGACTGACAATTTAAATATTTGTAGCACACAGTCAAATCTAACAGTGAGCTAAAACTGAAGTATTTCTAGCCTGAGAAATTCTAAGTTCATGGTTCTCTTGAAGATTAAATTCTACAGATTTTTTGTTTTTCCATAGGAGCAATCTACAATGACAGTCACGCCATCAAATTCATTATCACTGAGCTTAATTTTGGTTTTCATCAATTTTAGTTAGTGGACAAAAAGCTGTATCAGAGCTGCCTTTTCCTACTTTCTACCATTATCCTTCAAATCCCCTCCATTCATTTTCATTGCTCAACCTACCAGAGATCTTTCCTTGCTTAGACTGCTCCTAGAGAGTAACTGCTCTGCTTGCTTCAAAGCCCTTTCTAATCCAAAGCCACCCTACATTCTGTTGCAGGAATGATCTTCCTGAACATATCTCAAACCACACTATTCCTCAACTTAAAAACCATCAAGACCACCAAAATGCCTACCAAATAAAATCCTATTTCTTGGCCAAACACCAAAACTCTGGGAAGCCAAAGTAGGCAGTTCATTTGAGTTCAGGAGTGTAAGATCAGCTTGGGCTACATGGCAAAAAACCTATCTCTACGAAAAATCCAAAAATGAGCCGGGTGTGGTGATGCCCACCTGTGGTCCCAGCTACTCAGCAGGCTGAGGTGGGAGGATCACTCGAGCCCAGGAGACGGAGGTTGCAGTGAGCCGAGATCGTGCCACTGCACTCCAGCCTGGATGACAGCGTGAGAGACCCTGTGTCCCTCCCCGACCCAAAAAAATAATCTCAATTCAAGGCTAGCCACAGTCTAATCTTTACCTGGTTTTCCCAACATATCTCCTACCACTATTGAAGAAATCTATATACTCACGCAGAACTGACTTTCCTGAGACTCCTGTCTATTACTTCTCTAGACTTTTCTTCCTCTTCCTTAAAATACTTTTTCTCTTGTACTACGTACTTCTTGTTCCCATGTATTCACATTTTATTAATAACTTGTACAATTAATACTATCTGTGGATATTCTCCACATCCCTGTTACAAAAAACTCTTTTCTGAATTTCCAGAGTACAGACTCTGTATTTGCTTGTAGCACTATTCAATCTCTTCTTGATACTACAGTTATGTCTCTTTAATTTAATCTCCTCATCTCTAATTTTATCAAAAACAAAATGTCCATCTTATTTCCTTATACTGCACTGCACAGAATAGATGCTCAACATATAGTTGTTAAATGAATGTCTAAAATTCCACTTTATTAAACTATCTAATTTTGGTACATCTTACATAATTTTTAAAAGTCAGTTTACTATAACCTGCTATTTCATCTAGGGTGCTTGCTCTCATATCCAGCATGACTGTTCCATTGAGGATGCAACTCCTTAGTTCAAAAAGACTGTGCAAAGAGAGTGTTGCCACATAAGGTTTACTCCATCGGTCACCGCCATCTTCAACATCCTCTTCAAATTTCAGCCATCTGAATATACAATATGTACAAATATTTTATAAGTAACGAAGATTCCATTTATCTTAATGTGACACAGAAAAACTTGTTCTTTTAAAAAAAGAAACAAAGAAAACACGACCAAACAAACTTTGGTTGCCAACACATTTTCACAAATTACGGTAATGGTCTATAAGTTGTAGAGTCACAAATTCCTTTGTAGTTCCTCTTTCTATCCTAGCTACCATAATAAAAAGCCTACAAAAACAAACTATGGAATTTCATATACTTTCTACTTCTATTCCTCTTCTAAACTTGCAGTACACAAAAGTTTGATTTTCTAAGTTTAAAGACATTAAAATCTACAATGATATAATTTCTTTAACAAAGCATAATTAAGTAAACAAATTTGAGAATAAACTGAAAAATTAAAGATAGAATTTCTACCAATTAATATGGAAATTCTCTGCACACTGGTTTAAAGCACCAGATATCTCATAATTTCAATTTAATATTCCCATTACAAAAAGAAATGAAGTAAAGCCAATTTAAAAATGAAGCTTAGCCTGGGCACGGCAGCTCACACCTGTAATCCCAGCACTATGGGAGGCCAAGGCGGGAGGATCACCTGAGGTCAGGAGTTTGAGCCCAGCCTGGCCAACTTGGTGAAACCCCATCTCTACTAAAAATACAAAACTTAGCCAGGCGTGGTGGTGGGCACCTGTAATCTCAGCTACTCAGGAGGCTGAGACAGGAAAATCACTTGAATCTGGGAGGCAGAGGTTGCAGTGAGCCAAGATCCCACCATTGCACTCCAAGCTGGGTGACAAGAGCGAAACTCAAAAAAATAAAAAAATAAAAAAAAAACAAGAACAAGACTTAGCAGTATTACCTGGCAGTTTCTTTCCATTCATATTCCTCTCCATCTCGGTAACACAGTTCATCCATTTCCGTGAAGAGATCATGGGGAATATGTTCTTCATCATCATCTTCAGTACCAAGGATAAACTGAACTCTCTGGGATGGTGTATCTTTACAAAATAAGAATTTAAATATACTCAAAATTTTCCTCAATTCAAAGTTAAATTCACAGTTTTGAAGAAAGTGAAACACTTTTGGTACCTGTTTAAACAAATATATTTCATCAAAACTCTCTTAGTTATTGAACTATCACAGCTCTGAAAGGAAACAAGAACAAACAATCCAGGAAAAGTCATGAAAAAATAACCTCTATAGAGAAAAAAGGAAATTATATTGAAAATAAATGAGTCAAAGTAACTTTATAATTAACTAAACAAACAAAAATAAAAATAACATTCCAAAACATGAACATAATACTCAAAGGCAGCCCTTTTTCCTCACCAAAACTACATGGAAAGGTTAGAACAGAATATTTAAATATAAGCTAAGGCCAGTCACTGTAGCTCACACCTGTGATCCTAGCACTTTGGGAGGCCAAGACAAGTGGATGACCTGAGGTCAGGAATTTGAGACCAGCCTGGCCAACATGGTGAAATCCCATCTCTAGTATAAATACAAAAATTAGTCAGGCATGTTGGTGAAGGCCTATAATCCCAACTACTCGGGAGGCTGAGGCAAGAGAATCACTTGAACCTGAGAGGCAGAGATTGCAGCAAGCTGAGATCACCCTACTGCACTCCAGCCTGGGCGACAGAGATTCCATCTCAATCAATCAATCAATAAAATACAAGCTATGTTAAAGAATAAAAAATAGGAAATTGCCAAGTTCCAAAAATGAGAAAACTCAAAGCCCCAAGTATACAGAAACTATATTTTTCTACTATCATGAAGAAACAAAACTGTCAGCTTGGGGTTTCGGGGGTAGGACAAGTCACTACGAGAAACAGATAACCCATTCATGGCATCTGAAATTAAACTACCTGTGTAGTATAGGAGCCCTAAACAGAGGAATTAGCATAAATACTAGTCCAAGACAGCTGAAAGCCCTAGGGCCCCATATAAACAAACAACCACAAAGAGTTACCCTGAATATGAGAGATGAGTTCTCACTCAAAATTTACACCCAAGTGAACAATGCTCCAAGTACTTGTGGATGCAACAAACAAGGATATTTGAAGGGATAAAGAGCAGATTAGATGGAACTGTTTTCATAAAAGTCAGATTTGAGAAAATTTCAGAGCATGTGGAAACAATAGATAAGAAGGAAGAAAACATAAAAGATTAACAGGGATGCAGAAGGTCGAGAACTCCAGGACAAGGAAAATATAAAGAATAGGAGGAGAGGCATATAAAAAACATCTGAAAATTTTCTAGTATGTTTATGACATAAGCCTTCATATTGAAGACTCTGCTAGAAAATGTAAGAGGAAGGCACACTTCTCAGTTTGTTAATGAAGCCAGCATTACCTTGATACCAAAACTTATCAGGGATATTACAGGAAAAATAAAACTACAAATTACTGATACTCCATTCTTTTTCAGTCACTTCATTCTCTGTGTTTCACTTTGGACAGTTGCTATCACTGTCTTTAAAATCACTGATTACTTCTCTTTCTCTGCTGTAGCAAATCTTCAGTTAATCCTATCCAGTGTATTCTCCATTTCAGATATTGTATTGTTTTCCTCTCTAGAATTTCCATCTGGGGCTTCCTTCTATTTTCAATAGTTCTCTTTAACATAGTCATATTCTTCTCTGTCCTTTCGAGCATATGGAGCTTATTTATTCTAGTTGCTTTCACATTCTTATTTTGCAATTCCATCAACTGTCATTTCTGGATCTTTACTGATTTATTTTTCTCCTGGTTGTGGCTCATACTTTCCTGTGTCTTTATAACTCTGATAATTTCTGGATTCCAGATACTATGAACTTAACATGATCAGGTGCTAGATTTTATTTTCTTTCTTTTAGTTGTGTAATACTTTGCCCTGGCGTACAGTTAATTTAATTCTTTCAAGACCTACCTTTAAGAACTGTAGTGTAAAACTAATCTAGACTCACTGCTAAGGCAAGAGCCTTCTGAGAACTCTACCCAATTCCCTGTATGTGTCAAAGTCTTTCCACTGTGGCTGCGGGGAACACACACTATTCCCAGCCTTGTGTGAAGGTACAGGAACTGCGTAGCCTGCTACTGCTTTCTGGTAGTTTTTCCCAGGCCACAGGTAGTTTCTTCTCATACATGGCCAGATCAGTGATCAGCCAAACACTCAAAAGGATTCATCTTCAGATCTTTGGAACTGTGAATAGCGATCTACTCTCTTGCACTCTCCACCTCAAATTCTAGCCTCTTTGACCTCCCCAAATTCCAATCTATGCTCCTCAACTCTAGGCTGTTTGGATTCCTCTCCCTGTGCCGTGGCCTGAAAACTCTCTGGGCAATAAGCTCAGGTAATCATAGGTATTCTCTCACGTGCTTCTCCTCTCTCAGAAATCAAAGTCCTGTTGCTGCCTTTTGTCCAATTTCTTAAAACTACTGTTTCAGCCTGGCTCAGTGGATCACACCTATAATCCCAGTACTTTGGGAGGCCGAGGCAGGCAGATCATTTGAGGTCAGGAGTTCAAGACCAGCCTGGCTAACATGGTGAAACCCTTTTTCCACTAAAACTACAAAAATTAGCCAAGCGTGGTGGCACACGCCTGTGATCCCAGCTACTCTGGAGGGTAACACAGAAGAATCGCTTGAACCTGGGAACCAGAGGTTGCAGTGAGCCAAGATCCCACCACTGCGCTCCAGCTTGGCCAATAAGAGTGAAACTCCATCTCAAATAAATAAATAAAGAAAACTACTGTTTCATAAATTTTATCTGGTTTTCTAGCAGTTACAAACTTTGTTATTAAATAACAAATGAATTCTAAGAATCCAATAATGTACAACATGATGACTGTAACTAATAATATTGTATTGGCCAGGCACCGTGGCTCATGCCTGTAATCCCAGCACTTTGGGATGCTGAGGTGGGCAGATCACTTGAGGTCAGAAGTTTGAGACCAGCCTGGCCAACATGATGAAACCCCATCTCTACTAAAAATACAAAAAAAAAAAATAGCTAGGCATGGTGGTGGGCACCTGTAATCCCAGCTACTCAGGACGCTGAGGCAGGAGAATCACCTGAACCTGGGAGGCAGAGGTTGCAGTGAGCCAAGATCATGCCAATGCACTCTAGCCATATATATGATCATACTGTACATCTTAAATATATACAAATTTTCTTAATTATGCCTCAGTAAGACTAAAGGAAAATAGCCCCCAAATAGGAATAACTTTTAAAATAAAATGGGGAGAAAATTTAATCCCTGTTATTCCATTGTTTAGAAGCAAAAGTCCTGTGTAATCCCTTTAGAGAGCAGAGAGAAAGAGACTTCATTTTTAGCACATTCTCAAATACAAATTGGTAGTTAAAACAAAAACTTCAGGGACATAAATCTTTTCTAGAATAGTTCTTTTTAAAAAATCAAATATTTTCTTTGTTATAATTTATTTTTCAAACCCCTTTACTTAGTCTTTTCATCCCATATCCTAGCTTAAAACATCAAACCAACTACTTAGGTGAACATATTGATATACTAAGAGTTAAGTAAACAACATTTGTGTCCATAAAAATACTGTGCACCTTTTCACTCTGTTTGAATTAGAGAAGAAGCATGCTGATCCACATACTCACAGAAGAGCCCAGGATATCCTAAACTGAATGGCTGCAATGTATAGAACAGTAAAAATACTTCTAAATTACTTAGTATCACCAAAAAGAGTTCACTAGTGACCCTTTCCAAATTCAGTGTTTACTTTTCCTTTGCTAGCCACATGACCACTTAGTATTATTTTTACTAGGCCATCAGTGTCTCTTAGTAGAGTTTCTTTTTTTTTTTTTTTTTGAGACAGAGTTTCACTCTTGTTACCCAGGCTGGAGTGCAATGGCGCGATCTCGGCTCACTGCAACCTCCGCCTCCTGGGTTCAGGCAATTCTCCTGCCTCAGCCTCCTGCGTAGCTGGGATTACAGGCACGCGCCACCATGCCCAGCTAATTTTTTGTAGTTTTAGTAGAGACGGGGTTTCACCATGTTGACCAGGATGGTCTCGATCTCTCGACCTCGTGATCCACCCGCCTCGGCCTCCCAAAGTGCTGGGATTACAGGCGTGAGCCACCGCGCCCGGCCAGTACAGTTTCTTAATAGATTCCTGTCAGTCTTTTTGGGCTGAAGGTTGGTGATCTATAAAATGAATTTACCTGTATTTTTTAAATGCTAAGATGGCTGAATATTAAAAATGTTAAGATGGTTAAATACAAGACCATATGTCTAGGGCTTCGTAGAATATTTAGACACAGAATTTGCCCTTTATATTTTAGTAGGCCATCAGTATTTTCTTTCCTGTATTCATGTACCAACTGCATGATACATAGTAATTTTTTGTTCCTTGCCTTTTTCACAAAAACTTTCCTTTAGCACACAGGTACCAATAGGACGCAGCTCACATAGCTTTCTTTGCTTTAGAAAGCACACACTAGGACTCGTGGTATACAGATGGCCTTATACTAATAATGCCCTGTATGTCAACTAAGTATAATTTCTAAAAAGCCTCCTCAGGTTTTACAGCCTTTTTTTTTTGGTTCTCTCCTTTCCCACTCTCAAGGTCACTTAAAACAAGGCTATCAATGCTTATTATCAGATAAAGTCTTGTCCCTCTACTATATACCTTTTCTTCTTTCTGATTTCTATTGGTACTGCTATACTTCTCTGCTTTTAAGTAACAAACAAAAACCCTGTCCTTTTACATAAATAATACAATCAAATCAGAGTACTCTTTTTTGCACAGAAAACCAAGTAATCCAGCCTGGTGGATAAAATCTTCTGGCCAAAATGTGGTGTAAGAAGGAAAAAAAAGGTCGGGCACAGTGGTTCACACCTGTAATCCCAGTATTTTGGGAAGCCGAGGAGGGTGATCACTTGAGGTCACAAGTTCAAGACCAGACTGGCCAACATGGTGAAACTCCATCTCCACAAAAAATACATAACGTAGCTGAGGATGGTGGCATGTGCCAGTAATCCCAGCTACTTGGGAGGCTGAGGCACAAGAATCACTGGAACCTGGGAGGCGGAGGTTGCAGTGAGCTGAGATGGTGCCACTGCACTCCAGCTTGGGGCAGTGAGCTGAGATGGTGCCACTGCACTCCAGTCTGGGCAACAGAGCAAGACTCTGCCTCAAAAAAAGGAAAAAAACTTTAATCCCTTCCATGACAGCCTTAGCATTCCCAATGTCTATTCATTGCATATGTAAGTAAGTAAATACACATTAGAAAAAAGAAAATGAAACACTGCTAAATTTGAGGTTAAGTGACTAGGCATAAGTTCTACAATTCCAAGGATGGGATACAATAAAGAAAACAAAGCCCTTTATTTTTTTACTTACACCAAAGAGATCTGGACTTAAAGATTTTTCTTGCCAAATAAAAACAATTTCTTACTTCAATTGGTATTCCCCAATGTATACAATGTGTCTGCATTACTGCAGACATACAATGTTTAAAAGGAAATATTCAATTAAATGAAAATACTTTCCTGGAAAACAGGAACTTTAAACTGTTAAAGGAGAACTGTTTTCTCTTACCATAAGAAGGAGATTCCCGTCCATCTTCTTTATCTGATTCTTTATCTTTTCTTCTCCGGTGGTGATGTTTGTGTCCACGATGCCTATGACGCCGACGACTCTCTTTACTAAACGGGACGTGAACACCAATATATACAGCTCTATGACCTATGAAAAGGTTCACAAACATATTACTAGCTTTCCAAAAGAGAAAAAAGTGATATATGCCAACGTACTCCAAAATCTACTCTGATAAAGAATATAAGTTTGTGTAATTAACAATGATAGTCTCCATTTACTTCTCTTATTTTACAAAGCACTACACAGAATATTATGCCAAGTGCTAATATCATTGACAGGTGATTGTACTAAATCTATGAATCTCTTATGTAAATATTTGTACATCTAAAAAGATATCTTAAGAAAGAAGAGCTCAGCCCACCTGAAATCATACTACGTAGACATATATTTATTCCATCTACATTGATGGCCAACCATAGTTAGTAGAGGTCCTTAAGATATAAATTTTAATAACAATTAAATACTTTATAAAAAATATATTTACTAATTTTTTAGAGCTTTGAAAAAAATCAATAAAGACCAAACTACTGAGTGCTACATTAAATGTAAATAATCCAAATAAAGGGTAGAAACTGTCAGATTAGATAAAAAAGCAGTAAGTTACTTTGCTTTTAAACCAGTAAAAGCTCCTGCTGATATTGCATTATCCTAACTTTGCAGTCTAACAACAAAACAGTTATGAAAGGCAGTTTCTGCTTTTGCCCACTAGATGAAACTCAATCAGGAATCCTAGCCACAGAGCTAGGAGCACTATGTCAAATATAAAATGAGTGTTGAGTGAAGGGGGATGTGAACTACAAGGTCAACTAATTTGCAACTATGTACACAATTTAAAAAGTAATATGCTGAAATACAAATAGTTAATGACATTCTTTTCCTAACATAAGATGGTCAGAAAACAAGTACTTCAAGAGGCTTGGGATCTCCATCTTTATATGTGATTTGAAGTACAGTTGATCCTCATTATTTTTGGGATTCCATATTTGTGAAGTTGCTGATTCATTAATATTTACTAGTAACCACAAAATCAATACTTGTTAAGACTTCATGCCATTTTTCGGACAGGCACAGAGCAGCAGAAAATTTGAGTTGCCTGACACTCATATCCCCAGCTAAGGCTGAAAATGTGATACTCTAACATCTTATTTCAGCTGCCAATGTATGAATGTCATAAAGTAAAAAATCACCTTTTAAATTAAAAGAGGGGCAGACTTAATACACTGAACTAAAATAATTTTTTCAACATCTCCCAGTACTCTAGCTTAGCACATGGTAAGCATTTAATAAATGTCTATGGAATTAAATCTCAACTACTAGAAAAAAAAAATCCAAATGTAAAAGCTAATCACACAGTGTTTCTTTTTGGAATGATAGAAATGTTTCAAGAATTAGACAATGGTGTTGGTTGCATAATACAGTGAATACATTTTTTAAAAAATTGTAGACTTTAAAATGGTCAATTTTATGTTATGTGAATTATCAATTAAAAAGCAATAAGAAATAAATATAACAAAACTCAATTTTATTCTAATGAAACTATTTCTTTCAGAACATAAAGAAAAGTGGAAATTAAACAGTTAAATTCCCATCACTCCACTGGGAATTACAACGTTGTTCCTCCAATTAGTACTAATGGGTCTTGGCACACAGCCCCAATGCACCAAGATAAAAATAAATGCCATGAGTGTGCAGTTTAGAAAGACTAGATAAAATAAATAAAAACACACTAGAATCCAAAGATTGGTAGATTAAGCCTTATTGTATTTTCTTCTTTTACAATTGCCTCTAGTGTCCTCTGTTGTAATTTTTTTCTTTCTCTTTCCTTTTTCTTCTGCTCTTACTTATTCTATCAAGAGCCTATTTACTCAAACTCTCTTAGATAAACTTAGTATCTCCCTCAAACTTGATATCAAAATGTAGTTGTATACAAAGTATGCAGAGCTTAGGGCCTATGATAACCAAAGGAAGTGAAGGAACATAGCCAAGTGCCTCTCCCTTCATATTCCAGGTCACGTATAGGTGAGAGTTGACATTAAACATTAAATGTATTACTGTACACTTGACTTAGTAAAATTAGCGCTAACATTTTTAATCTCCCTAGCTCCTATAATTCACAGGATCTAACCATAAGCTTCTTGATAACTGAGGTTCTTTCTGGAAGCCCTAACAAGCCTAGGCTCTTAAAGCCCATTTTTAGAGTTAAAAAAAAAAAAAAAGAAAAAACTTACAATATAAATGAAAACTCTTGTTTCTCTGTCCATCTCTTTTTTAAAATAAACAATTGATAACCCAATATACTACTAGCTCTCATTGAAGATTTTAACTTAATGATGTATAGTTCCTAAAAACATCCCCCAAAAATGTCTATCAAAACATTTGCTATGAACACCATCTTAACCACGTGTTTGTGGTTAACATCATCAATAATAAGTCATGTTGATATCATACTGTCCACACATATAGTGAACTGAAAAGGGCATGTTACTGTAGCATGCTTCCCAAATACCTATAACCTCCACCTACTCTTGATAACATCAGACTAAACCCAAACTGAGAAACATTGTATGAAATATCTAACCATTACTCTTCAAAAGTGTCAAAGTCATGAAAAACAAAGAAAGAATGAGGAACTGGTATAGATTAGGAGACTTGTAATTAAATGTACTGTTACAGAGCCTGAACTGGATCAAGTGAATCCTAGAACAGAAAAAGGCCATTAGTAGAAAACCCAGTGAAGCCTAAAATCTGTGGTTTAATAGTAAACTAGTAATTAATCAGATTCTAATTAAATTAGTAATTAACCAGTGTTACTTTCTTCGTTTACACAAATGCATGGCTGTGCAAAATGTTAACATTAGAATAAACTGGGTGAAGTGTATGGAGGAACGCTCTGTGCTGCCTTTGCAGCTATTCTGTAAATCTAAAATTATTTTCAAAGGAAAGAAACCACATGCCAGGACTTCTTCCTGTTTAAGGAGGAATGATGGGCAAATAACTCAGTTGCTCTAAAACTCTATGCAGAGGTTATTGCAACACTTTAAAAGGCTAATGTAACACCTATAAAATGAATGTTTAGATGGCAACTAATGATAACTGTGGTTTATTAGTCTGGCACTTTAGTGTACTCATTATACAAATTACTCGGCCTGCCAGAAATGAAAAAAATAAAAGAATTAACCAATTTTGTGACTCTGGCCTTTCTTCAGTTTTCCAAGTTAAGTTAATGGTAACCATCACTAAATTCTGAAAAGCATTCTGAACTCTTATCTTTTGCCAGTACTTTCAAATGGCACTCTTCTAAATGTATGCATTACAACAATAACAAACAAAAACTCAACAAATACTAGGTAAAACTTAAGAGGATACTTATAATAAACATTAATTAGTAATTTATCCAACTAAGCAAAGTAAGTTATTTTAAACAAACTTACTTTCTAGTTCTTCTTTTTCAAACTTGGTGTTCACAGTTGAGCTAGTTTTGCCAAGATCCACAACAGCTTCTTCATCAGGACCCTAAGAATAAATTATTCTCATTGACTCGTGAGATCATAATCTATCGAGGACCTATCATACACATCCTTTGAAATGGCAACAAAATATAAAAGACTGCTTTCTTTTAAATAAATGAATTCTTATTGTAGCTAACTGCATTATTTTAAAAATGTTATAAGCTGCTTAAATCCACAGAAGACCATTCAAAAATCCCATAGTAAGAAGCGAAATTGCAAAGATTTTTAAATGGTTTTCTGTGCAAATTACTAAATAAGTGGTAATACATTCATTTCATCCTCAAACGACAGACCTTCCAGGGTTAGAGATTAAAGAAAATGTGATGTGAGGGGAGTCCTTGGATGCCAACGTGGAATGCTTTCTTTCTTGATCTTTGCTCTTATGTGTCCTAAACAACAGGAAACAGTTATGCTGGATTGGATTATGGTCAAACATAAAGTTGTCAAAAAAAAGTAGACTCGACATGCAGCACTACTTTATATTAATCAAGAGCTAACAAAATTTAAAAGAACTTTTTATTTTCCCCCAAAGTAAAATCCATGCCAAAATTTAACCTCTAGGGAAATTCTAGTTTCAGTTGTGAAAATCCCACCTTCATAATTTTGTTCTCTTTTCAGTTCAACAAAAAGTCATTAAACATATTTATTGTAAAATATTGTATAGGCAGTTTTTAAAACGGGAAAATTTTAGCTTTAACTTCCCTTCTCAACTTGTAATAACTTTCAAACGGACATTCTAATTATCATTAACTACTTACGCACAACGATTCTGTGCCACGGCTAGAGAGAGAAGAACAAATACCCAACCCTCAAAAAGTCTTCGAAATCTAGTCCTGGTTTCTAGCCGGACCACCTATAGCTCCCTCTGGACCCATACCCAGCATGGGGCTATCGGAGCTATGCAAACCCTCCCTGACCTCTACCAGAGCTGGCCAGGCAGCTCCACACTTTTTTACAATGTATACCAAGTAAACTGAGATACAATTGTTGCTTCTATGGAAACCCTCAGTGTTCAAATCCTTAGTAGGTAAACTCAGGAACTGAACTGATTTAATTAAATTTTCAAATAAATTCCTTGCTATCCAAACTACCACTATTTGTTACCCAAAACTCAGCAGGACACAGTATATGAAGTAAATGCAGATCTTTTGATATCCAAATTTACTTTCTAAAGGCTATATATCCAAACTGTAAATCAAATACATTTGGATATCAGGACATATATGTATACAACTCTGAATGATTGGTGTTCAATTTAAGATAGGTAACAGAGGTATCAAATGACTTGCTATGGTTCCATATTTAAAGGAGTGGGAGCAAACCATGTAGACCATGAGACAATTTCATATGACGGACTAAGAAGATGGGCCAGGTGTGGTGGTTCACACCTGAAATCCCAGTACTTTGGAAGGCTGAGGTATGAGTATCACTTGAGCCCAGGAGTTTGAAACCAGCGTGGGCAACACAGCAAGATCCCCATCTCCATTTATTTAACACGATTTTTAATTTAACAAAATTTTAAGGCCGAGCGTGGTGGCTCACGTCTGTCATCCCAACATTTTGGGAGGCCGAGATGGGTGGATCACCTGAGGTCAGGAGTTCGACACCAGCCTGGCCAACATAGTGAAACCCTCTCTCTACAAAAAAAATAATTAGCCAGGTGCACAAATTAACCACGCTGCCTTATAGCATTCGCTTCCTCAGTAACAAGGAAAAGCCAAAGTAGGAAACCAAACCAAACTCCAAAAGTGCAAGAACAAGTAATGAATAATTTCCACCCAAGAACGAAGTCATGCTCTAAAATCTTTAGCCAAATCCTCCAATGACTTCATGTCGTTGAGTCTCTGAACATGCATAGGTACAAAAGATAAGCTCTCCTAAGTAAAACGCACAGAAGTTGTACCCTGAGAGGTAGCATATTGCCTATTCTAAAAGGGATTAACTGCTCACATTCCAAACTTTCATTTAGGTTGCACAATTGCCAGGATATGAAGCAAAACAATTAACTCTCACCTTCAAATAAAAACAAAAAGGACTCAAAAACAGCTTAAGTTATATAGTCTCACAATACTTACAAATATATTATTTACTATACTTATTTAAAATACACATACCCTTTGACCTCTAAATATCTATCATGGATAAAGGATCCCACATGTACCAAACATGACATATATAAAAATTAAAAATAAAAATAAAAAAAAAGAGCACATCTTCTCATGCTCTACCCAGGCTGCTCCTACTAGATACTGTCTGCGAAGCCTTGGGCAAGAGAAAGTTCCACGTCTCTGAACTTTCATTTTCATTGAGGCATTCTTTCTAATATTTAAAAAAATGAAACAAAAATGTGTGTCAATAGTAACAAGACAATCTCTTACCAAAGAGTTCTAGGAAAGAGTTTGAGAAAGCAGACCCAAAAAATGGAAGCAGATCTTATGTCCTGATAAGAAAAAGTCTCAAAGATATTCGTTTAGTGAAAAAGCACATTGTAGTGAATAAGGTCAAGTTTATGTTAAAAATATTTACAAGACTAAACCAAACTTTTATTGCCATAGTTACAGCTTTTCATATGTATTTATTTATATTAAGTAAAAAGCAGGGGAAAAGGCTTGATGGTATCCACACCAAATTCTTTTTTTTTTTTTTGGTGCTAAATGTGCTACTGCAGCTCAGACACACCAAATTCTTAACTGCTCATTTCTGGAAAGGGAACTGGGTTTGAATGGAAGTCAAATCAGAATATGAATTTATTGTTATTGTTTCAATTTTCAATGAGAATGTTTTCATGTGTAGCTTGCATAACTAAATTATTTTATTTCACTTCATTTCATTTTAATTTGACAGAGTCTCCCTCTGTTGCCCAGTCTGGAGTGCTGCCTTTGGGAGGTCGAAGCAGGCAGATTATTTGATGTCAGGAGTTTAAGACCAGCCTAGCCAACATGGCGAAACCTGTCTCTACTAAAAATACAAAAATTAGCTGAGTGTGGTGGAGCACTCCTGTAATTCTAGTTACTCAGAAGGCTTGAACCCAGGAAGTGGAGGTTGCAGTGAGCCGAGATTGCACCAACGTACTCTAGGCTGGGCCACTGAGCAAGATCCTGTCTCAAAAAAAAACAAAAACAAAAACAAAAACCTAGATCATAAATTTAAAAACCCAGCATCAACATGTGACAAAATCAAATTCAATTCAAAATGCAAATCCCAGCAAAATCAAACCAAGTTTTGTCAGAAACAGATTTATACCTTCATAAGACATTTTACTAATTCCTCTCATAGTTATTTATCTTGCCTGAAGAAGCAAAATGCACAATTTATATTTCTGGTCAAATTATCAAAAATGACACTTAACATGCCAAAGGCAAAGTACTAGGAGTAAAGGATGTTAAAAGACTCCTTTAAAATATATGGTAAATCTAGTCTAATATTCTTTTTGACACCCTGAAGTTTACAAAACTCCATCAAAACAGCCATCAGAGATCCCTGTTACAATTTTTTTTTCCATTACGTAAGACATATGGCTATTGCCCAAAAGTAATGCCTGTCATAAATTATGATCAATCACATAATTTCATAGTTATCGAACACTTTAACTTCAAAACATACTTAACTATTAAGAAAAAGTGATTTCTTTCCTAATATCTCAGCCAAATAATTTTTAAAGACTCATTCAAGTAATATAAACTAACCAAAGAGTGAGTTTTATAGAAGAATAAAGATGCTATGAACATTTTTAACTTTACACACAGAATTACTCTTCAACAGATGACATCCACAGCCAAGGACACAGAGGATGATACTATTCTAAGCCAGTGCTAATAAGCCTGACATTTCTTCGAGCTTCACTATTCAACTCTGACTCAAATTGTAAATAAAATACAAGATCTTAATTAGGTACATACAGGTAACTTCTTCTCCAGGCGAAATCTTTCCATAGTAATACAGAAATGCCTTGTTTTTGATGATGTAATGCAGTAAGTCCCTTGAAGATTCCAGGGACAGTGAGCACATATCTGATTTAGGTCACTGTGCTCTGCAGAGATGAACTCTTCTAAGTTACTTTTATGGCGCAGCCAATCACTGTGTTCTAAGTTACCTAATCTTCAAAGCTAATAACTACAACCTACACAGGGTCACAGCATAACAGATTTGGAAAGTAATATACACATTTAGTTTTAAGTAAAAATACCAAGAGGAATGCAGCAATCCATTTTCAACTAAAACCTTTCTGCAATGTTAGTACAAAGAGTGCATACTCTAAGAATACATGTGGATAGATGTGTGAGAGTATCTATACCATAGAGAAGATACTTTCAAAACTATGCTCAGTTAAATCTAGACCTTTAATTCGTTTCAGAAAAAATCCAAAGGTGTTTCTATTTGAAAAATTTCACCTTTTTAATAATACAAAATTTATGCCAACTCACATGTAACTGTATTAATAAATGGATTAATAAATCATATTATAGTTTATAATTATCATTTTAGCCAAAACAAAGTGTTAACATGGACAATAGTTAGAAAAAAAATGACACTTGGGATTCTCCACATTCTTAAAAATTCCTGAATATCTCACAGGGGCTTTGTTTATACAAGTTACCACATCAGGATTAAAACGGAAAACTTCAAAATATTCATTCAGAATCATTTAAACAATAATAAAGCCATTACATGTTAACATACTAACATTTTAATAAAATAACTTCTCAAAAACAAGACAAAATTTAGTGGGAAGAATGGCTCTGTTAATTTTCACATATTCAACATATCTTAATTTTTACGTATTTAACTTCATAGAAGACAACTGGATTCTCAAACGTACTTCTGTAGTCAATCTGATGTGATCTCTCCTTGGTTGAAGTTCATTTAAAAAAAAAATCCAGGGCTGGGCGCTGTGGCTCACATCTGTAATCCCAGCACTTTGAAAGGCAAGGTGGCTGGATCACAAGGTCAAGAGTTCAAAACCAGCCTGGCCAATATGGTGAAACCACATCTCTACTAAAAATACAAAAATCAGCCGAGCGTGGTGGCAGGTGCCTGCAGTGTCAGCTACTGGGGAGGCTGAGGGAGGATAATCACTTGAACCCGGGAGGTGAAGGTTGCTGTGAGCAGAAATCACACCACTGCACTCCAGCCTGGGTGACAGAGCAAGACTCCATTTTTATGAATACTTATTTTGTCATTCAGAATATTAAAGCAAAACAAAATGGCTGAGATTTAATAAGATAACTAGTTTTTACTGCTTCACTAAAGTGCTCTTTGTATACACAGATTTGCTTCTTGGTACCATCAATTCTATAAGGTAGCAAATAGATGATATTTAATATTTTCTATAAAAACATCTATATCCCATAGCTAAAATCTTACTACCCTGCTCATCCTGGAGAATTCACTCATGATATGCACTAAATACATAACAAAATAAGAAATGTAAAACTAATACATCAAACAGAAAAGATACTTTCTTTTAATCTTTCACAACTTTACGTCGGGAGACTGACTGTAGGTAGCATGTCTTATACTTCAAATGCAATTTGAAAGACATGTCACATACTTCAAATACAATTAAGGCTTCTCAGCTCCTCCAAGAACAGAAATCCCAATAACATCAACAGTTATAATACACATATAATTAGTTACATATCTGAAATATTCACCCTTATGATGTATGATATACACTTGGCAAATAAACATAAATCTGAAGACTCAAATATGAGAGTAAGCCATGTGTCATTCAATTATTTTTTAAATTCTCAATACGTCAAGCCCCCAAAGAACATCTGCAAATAATCAGGTTAAAAACTAGTTTCTGGCTGGACATGGTGGCTCATGCCTGAATCCTAGCACTTTGGAAGGCTGAGGCGGGCAGATCACCTGAGGTCAGGAATTCAAAACCAGCCTTGCCAACATGGTGACCCCACCTCTATTAAAAACACAAAAATTAGCAGGGCATGGTGTGTGAGCCTGTAATATCAACTACTCTGGAGGCTGAGGCAGGAGAATTGCTGGATCCTGGGAGGCTGAGGCTGCAGTGAGCTGAGATCACACCACTGCATTCTAGCCTGGGCAACAGAATGAGGCTCCATCTCAAAAAAAAAAAAAAAAAAAAAAAAAAA